ATTTAATGTTTTTCAAATAAGAATAGAATATAAATTGATATATAAAAAAATATGTAAAGTCTACTGAAACATTAAACCTAAACTAACTTCATCTTTGTTCAAAGTATACCATAAATCTCACTAATCTATAAATATTGTTTATAATATTATAATAAAATATTACAATAAGAAATGTATAATAATTTTCAATATTTTTCGTTAAAAGCTCAAATAATATAAAACCCAAAATCCATAAAGTAAATACTTAAGAAACAAAACTTAATAAAATTTATTGAAATATAGGAAGCTGTGGCAATTATTTAAATTTTATTGATTTTGTTTCTTATGTTCACAACTCAATATGAATTTTTATTGGCATTTTTACTTTTATTGTTGTTATTTTGTTCCATCTAATTTATAAGTGTTTCCGAACAAAAATAAACCAAAGTCATTTCATCCATCTCAATAATGCATATGCTTCTATAATGTTTTTTTCACAGTTGCTTGAGATTGGTGATTCACATTATCACCCACTTCAACATCTTAAATTTTAATATGAAAATAAATCATTATGAAAACGTTATAATATTACAGAAAATATTTTAAAACAGCAAGAAAAGAATTTTCAAATATTCATAAACTCTGAAGTGTACTTATTATTGTAATATACAAAATATAAAAATGCCATTATAAATTCAAATTAACCTTTAAAAAATTTAGATTATAAGTATGAGGTTAAAATGCTTTTAAAATATTATTAAAATTATATTCGAATTATGTACTATTTTATTTCTTTTTAAACTATAACCATATATATGAGTATAATATATTAACATTAACTAATAATAGTACGACTACTGCTACTACCATTGCTGTTACTATTACTACCGCTACTACGACTATTGCCATTGCTACTACTTCCACATTACTACTGCTACCACTACTGCTTCTTTTACTACTCCAACTATCAGTACTAGAATTAACTATTACTACTACTATTACCGCTACTACTACTGCGACGTTACCACTACTTCTATTATTACCACTACTGCTATTACTACTACCACAATCATTACTTCTACAACTACTATTACTATTACCGGTACTACTATTGCGACTACCACTACTATTACCACTACTGCAATCCTTATTTCTACAACTATTACTACTACTACTATTATTACTACTACTTTTCGTACGATTACTACCACTACTGCTCATACTACTATTTTCACTACTATCACTAAAAATACAACTATTCCAACCTTGAGTTTTTCTCTTCGTAGTAAGGAGGTAAAAGGTTTATTGGCCGTCAAACCGGTCGTTGCCGGAACGGTGTGCCAGACTGCCTAAAATATTACTATACAATATACGGACTAAAACACCTACATTCGCAGAAACGTATTCCTTCTCAAAATCACTTTCACATTACTTCGGGTAGGGTCTCTTTTATGTTGCATTTCAAGCCATGCTCTTTTGATTTTCAATCTATGTCCAGACTTCCGCTTTTTTACCGCATTTTTTTTTGTTTTTTGGTATTTGCCCTATTTTTAACCTAGTTTCTGCTTCTCCTTTTTTAGTCCAATTTATTTGCTTTGTGGACTTTAATCACAAATGACACTAGAATTCATCAGTTCACTGGGCTCGCTCTCATCTTTTCCACTATATTGTCGGCATTTATTGAACCAATCCAGACTTTTATCTCTTCTCTAAGTGTGAGCAACACTCATAAAAGTGATATGGTTAATTTAACCAAATTTTAACGAAATCAAGGTCGTCGTATCATGTTGGTTCAACCATACCATACCATTGGTTTTTATATCATCTTAACCACATGAGCTAAAATTTTATTAACCAAAATGATCAAGTCAATTGAACTACTATGTGGTTAGAGCATATTTTTCTGAGTGCATCTATTTCAATAAACTAAAGTGCACTTCACGTTTTCACAATCTCCGTCATCATAAACGCGACCGAGCAGATCCGCCTTTCCAATGCAGTACAAGTATTTTCAAAAGTTTTAATGTCCAGTCAGTGAGTGAGGTAGTAATTTGTATTTCCCAATTTTCGTTTGAACCAGGTAATTGTATAAGTTATCTATCTAGGGCAATATATGCCCCCGAGTGAAAGTGCTGATAACTGTCTGAACCTAACCTAATCTATCTAGGTGTCCATCTTCCTATTGTTATATAGGATAATGCACATATATTTCTATTGATAGATAGCGCATATATCTATTGCACTATTCCTGCATCTTTTATGCTATATTGTGTTGGTTTGTTCCTGATCTTCTCTTGACATTTGCTGAGTATAGTCGTTTACTAGTACTACTAATACAAATAAATAAATATTAATAACATATATAAAAGTTTCAAGCTTTTTAAATATACTTTTGATACAATACTCGTAAATAAAAAAATATCAAGACAGTGGTGCCGTGTTTGGTCAAAAAATCGTGTACAACGATTTTCCATAGTGAAAATCGCTAAATGCACTTGTTGTTGTCTCACATTAACAGCTGCTGTAAACAAACTAATTGACAGATGGCGTTCAAATTTGTACCATATGTCAAGAAAGGGTGTACCAATATAACAAAATAAAAATTTTTTTTAAAAGGTCTATTACTTAAGGAATAGTTAACAAACAACAAAATCCGGATACTTTTTGAGCAGAAGGTATACAAATAATATGTATAATAGTGAGTTTTTTTTTAATTAAGTTTGTGTGTGCATAATTTTTAATTAAAATAGTTCACATAATTTATGGGATATAAAATTACATGTTAAAAATTTCGCTACCTTTAAGTTCCTAACAAAAAAGAAAAAAATTGAAAGAAGGAAGCTGAAATTTGTAGTAACAAGTTTGAGTTTTACCTACAAGGATAAAATTTGCTTAAATATTTATAAGCAAATTAAATTAGCCAAGTGTAGTTAATCTGATAAAATTCCAAACATAAAGAAATAAAGGCAAATAAAGATAAATTCTCGAAAACAAGAAAAAGTGGAAGTTAATTTTTTAGAAGAAGCTTAATAGAAAATTAAGGAGCTTCTTATACCGTCTATATTGTTTTATTCTGTATTGTTTTATTTTGTATTGTTTTGCTTTCATTAAGGATAAATCAGATTTAACAAGGTGGTGAAGATAGCACACAAAAGTTGACATCATCAGAAAGCAAGCCATGAGTAAAAAAATAATGCTCCTAACAATGGAAAAAAGTATCCCTCCATAAACAAAAACAGATAGACAAGCTCATAATGCAGCATAAAAAGCCCATAAAGGCAGTTATGTGTGAGTTAGGCACAAGTTCAGATAAAAGTGACTCGAACCTATCTCAGTGAAAGTACTCGTATATGAAGCATATCAAAATAGTTGTGTGCCAGGAAGAACTTTGACTGATGTAAGCAAATATGCCAGAAATAGTAAGGAAGCAATTCAGGTTACAGTTGATGACAATACTAAATCCAACATTAACCTAACATATATTTGTGTTGAAACTGTATTGAATAAGAAGATAAAGATGTCCAAATAAGTAAGCAAAAAAACTGAAAAAAACTACATTTAATCGTAAAGTAAAAATTAGATTTATATTATCTTCTATTTTTTTTATTCGGCTTGAATACGAGTATAATCAAAGTCATTTTGTTTATGACAGGAAGTAAAAATAGTTCACAAAAAAAAGGAGTGACAATTGTATGGACTACAAACAATTGTGTTCTATTTCCGTTTATCAGCTTTGGCTTGATGAATGCTGTGACAAAAGTCAGAATATCATTTTGGCCTTCATTTCGCTTAAATGTCATGCTGTGCTTTATATTTCACGCATTTTGTCTAATACTGGTATTTGTGAGAATAATAATTTTCTCTTCCTTTTATACTCGTCTCTTTTCTCTATATATTTTCCTTGTCATTTCACAAAGACGCCGTTTGACATTAATGACTACTTTTGTTAACTTGTCTAAATGTAACTGCCATTTTTCTTGCCATTCTTTCGACTTAATGATGCTCGATGACGACGAAAACATATGACGCTTTAACTTAATGAGCCAAATATATTACAGGGAAGATGAAATTTCCATACAGTTTGGGTGCACAGGTTACAGAAAGCATACTAGTATTTAAAGTCATTTCTAGATAGAAACTATTACAGGGAAGATGAAATTTCCATACAATCTGGGTGCACAGCTTATAGAATGCATACTAGTAATTAAAATTATTTCCAGATAGAAAATATTACAGGAAAGATGAAATTTCCATACAATCTGGGTGCACAGGTTATAGAACGCATACTAGTAATTAAAGTCATTTCTAGATAGAAAATATTATGCGTTTCTAAAAACTCATGCCTGAAAAAAAATATAAATAAAATAAATACTATGATGTACAATTTAATAATTTATTTGATAAAAGGTTAATTAGCTTATTAAAATGGAATCAATAAATATTATAATAAAAAATATTTCCCATCATGTATTTTTATTTTATTAAAAACTTTTGTGGCCAGAAGAGTCTTATTGTACCAATTTCCCTATTGATTACAAAAACTCCTTTAAAGCTCTGTGAACAAAATCCAGAACAAAATCTAGAGAAGAATTCTGAAGCTGTTCTGGTGACAGAAATTCCATATGTAATTAATTTCTTCTGTGCGTTGTTAAAGTTAGACAGTCACAAAGAATATGTATATTTTATGTTTTGATATTTGATATTTTAAACCGATATATTTTTTTCGGTTCGGTTCGGGTTTGCGTTTCAGCACAAACATCGGTTTTTTCCGATTTTCCGTTCCTGTTCGATGCCCTGCTTATAATCGTTATAAGACTTACTAATTTCATTATTTCTTATATAAACAAACTAAATATATATACATAGTAATATATCATAATTATATTAAAGTTATTCTGGTAGACGACTATACTATTTATAGCCATAAGTTGAAAGTTAAAATTTATTTATAATGTCATGAAATTTAATATATATAAATAAAAAAATTTACTTAAATTATTTTCTCTTTTTGTTTTTTGCAGTTTCACCAGAGTCCATTGTGATACCAATAGTTTCCTGTATATTTGGTTTTCCAATTTTGGCATTAATTGTCATTTGCTGCCTGCGAAGACGCGCTAAATTGGCACGTGAACGAGATAGACGTCGGAACTATGACATGCAGGACCATGCAGTCAGCCTGGTCAGATTTAGTCCAATACATAGGCTTAGTGAGTTTAAGTGTTGTAATGTTTTGTACCAAAAAAAAAAAAAAACTTTTATTCAATTTTACTCAATTTTTTCTCCTTTAAATAAAATACAATATTATAAAATTTTCACTCTTTGCCTGAAATGATTTGTGATATACAAGCCATGAAACATACTTTCAATTTCTTTGCAACTTTCCATTAAACTTCAGTAAAAGTTACTTTTCCTGAAGTCTCCTGTCTGAAAACTACAAAGTTCCTCGGTTGTTGGCATTAAATCGAAAAAAATTGAAAGCTTGTTTTTTGACTCAAATTTTTGACTTGAACACTGAAATCCTTTCAGTGCTTAACATTGTTCTGCAATCATGTTTTGGCTTCCACACGGTTTTCGAACACTGACTTATTTTATGAAGTTTTTCTTTTTTTATCTTAAACATTTCTTTTAAACTTTATATCGAATTTTTATATAGAATTTTTAATTCAAACTTATTTTTTAACTTTTTGTACTTTTCTACTTCTTTAGCAAAAAATTATTGATGTTGAATGCAATTAGTGTCATGATATAGTTTTTTTTAATCTTTTTTAAATGCATAAATTGTAGCAAAAAAAAACAACTATTAAAATCACTGTCAATATTAGCTCACTTGATATATTCTATAATTATTGGTGCAAATAAATTTTTATTAATATAAAATTAATCAAAAATAAACGGAAATTATATACATAGACGTCATAACTCAGTTAGGCGAAGATGGTTCTTAGTTGCTTAATTTAGTTATTACCTTAAACAAAATTTTTGGTCGATATTTAGTATATTTCTTTGAGCAGTGGCTTTAATGCAGTAAATAATTCTTTAATAAAAACTATATCTACATGTTTTCTGAAAAAAGCAAAGCAAAGCAAGTGAGCACTTTGGCTCACTTCAAAGTAAAATTACAAAAAAAATTAATGTTCTTCAAAAAAAAAATTTATAAGATAAAAAAATATGACGACGCGAAAAATTAAAACAAAAATTTTCCAAAAAATTCAACTTCGAATCACTACGATTTCGGAACCCATTTTAGTATACTAAGATATTAGGTGATAAATAGAAGTCTCAGCCGCTTTTAATATAAAGATGGTTTCTTAATTGGCATTTTTTTTCAGGTGAAGGTGTATTAAATGCCCAGGATACCTATAAATGTAAAAATGTACTTTCTTTGATATATTTTTTGTTCGTTGGATCAATGAATCATTTTACATAAATGTATTTCATTCAAGCCTATTTGAAGCTTTAGACATGAATAACACTTTTTCGCTAACGAACGCGATTTTGTATTCAGTTTCAAAACCCATTCCAAGTTAGACGAAACGATATATTTTTGGCAGTTTTGGAACGGCTCCTGCTAACGCTAGAAACTATTTCTGGAAAAAAAGCAGTGCAGTGGACTGCCTGTTTAACAATGTTGACATTATTTTCCTATTTTCCTCGAAGATCAAACCCAATATCTTTCTCTTGATTTCTGTTGTAATGACAATCTGATTTTTCAGAAAGTCAGACTTTATTTAATTTGACGCTAAAAGATCCACATATCTTCATTAATTGATTAATAGAGATTAGAATTCAAGTTAATGAATATTTATTGAACTAAAAATTGCTGACCTAATCTACTCAAATGGGTCTTTTTTTTAATAGTGATTGCTTTAATTGAAGTTTTTTTTCTGCTCGATTTTTTTTTACACTCTGTACCATATCTCCGGTAATATTGGAAAGCCATACAAAATATTCGAAATCCGTTTCCAAAAATGTTTAAGCAATAAATTGTAATGTCTGTTCAAAAAAAGGAGTCATCAGAGCTACAATATGTGCTTTATAGTTTTCTAATGTTTAAGAAAAATAAAGTTTTCAACTAACCGAAGATAGTGCGATCTTATTGCTAGCACAATATCAGTTCCTAATTTTGGTATTTAGTGTTCCCCTATATAGTGTGGGAATTATACGATGCTTGTTTGAAAGACTGAATTATCATGTCATGTTATATTTACAATTAAAAATTAAAAACAAATTTTATCTCTTAGTTTTTTGAGATCTTTTAAAAGAAAACAAATTTTATTAAATTTCACATTAAAAGTTATGAACAACATTTTTAATAAATTTTTGTATTACAGATTACCGATCGTCGCGAGCTATCAGTTTACGTCCTGAACGAAGTATGAGCCAAGGTTTCACCTCACTCGAACTAGACACAGTTATGGAGGAACGTTGTAGTGATATAGAACAAACACAAACCGAAATAATAAATGCCGAATCACCAATGGAATCCATATCTTACAAAGCTTCATTCTCAAGCTAACACTTGGCTCAAAATCTACAAAAACAACTACAACCAAATCAACCCTCACAAACTCATCCGAAAGCTAAACCCAAACCCATAAATACAATACAAGAAACTCAATTTGGCAAACGCGCTACCAGTTTAAAGCGAAAATCAAAAAATACTGAGGTGCATACGCCTGCTAAAAGAAGTTCAAAGGTTCCTTCTTCAATGAGAAAATCACAATCTCTTGATACTGAAAACTATTCTCTCACAAGCATACAAGCGCCACTCTGGGCAACTCTTACTAATGCCAGGACAATCAATGAGATTTCGCAAGACAACTATTAACTATCAAAAGTGCAGCTAAAGACAACTAAAAAGTTATAAACCTTAAGGAATCTTCTATATATTATTCTCGCATACACTGTATATAAACTTGTTCAGTATTTGTGTATATTTCCATTATTATAGTAATTTTAAAATAGAAATTGTACTTGTTTTATTGCTTTTACGTGGTCGTATGTCCTATAAATTATATATGCATTGTCATAAAATATAAAAAGATTCTAAATAATTAAATAGACTACGAAAACTACAGATTAAACTTGATACCAAAATTGTTTATTTATTGTCGTACAAAATTCTTATACTCGTATAATAAAACTTTATTTCAAATTTATATGGTTAATTTTTTAATAAATAGTAATAGTAAATAGTAATACGGAGGATAATTAAGGGAATTGGAAACCATAAACGAACTCTTCCACAAAAATAGAATAGAACACATATACTGCATATATGAAACATTTTATTCCGCTTAATGTAACCGATCACCGAATAAAGTAGTAAGTAAATTGAAGTCATATCAACCTATACTGATCACGGTCTTGAAGTTAAATCATCTGTATTGACCTGAACCAATCCAACTGTATCAAAAGTATTACGTATTTCTAGTATTATATATTTTTCCCTAACACAAAAATGTATACAGTTGGTTAGATAGATATTTGATTAGGGATCTGTCGAAATTTATATTACAGAAACTAAAATCATAAAATTCTGACGATAGAAATTCTACTGAATTAAATAACATTTCGAAAGTGTTGATATATAGAAGTAATGACGTTTTCGATTGGTGAAACTGAATTTAATCAAGATGTACTCTCGATCTACCAATTTTGTTGCCCAATCGAACTATTTTAAAGTAATCTGACTTTTTTTGTAGTAGAGTTAGTAGACATTTATATTTTTTATAAATACATATATCGAATAAAATCACACTTTATCTATAAAATAATATAAAGGAGCTGTTAATTTCAGGATGATCTAGCTACTCTGGTCTATATACAGTACATTTTTCCTCAGAATTACCAATCGAAAATAAAATTGCACTAAAAGTGGTTTAAAAGATCATCCCGATTAAAAAAATTACTTCAGATTTACCAAACGAAAATGCAGTCAGATATTTTGTCAAAACTCTAAATTTGCACAGCTTATCAGATACTTTTTATCAGTATGTATCTGCACTGTAAAAATAATTGAAGTGGAACTCTTAAAGCAAATTTAAAATAAATACTAAGAATATGATTTAAATAAGAACCTGAAATAATTATCTAACCTATTTTTAAAAAGAAAATATCTTTAACCAAAATCCTACAGATATGTATTTATTTTTTTTTAATATATTAGATAGTACCTAGCTATATAACTCTAGAATATTGAGAATGCGATGAATATAATTTATCTCAAAATGTATGACTACAGATACAGTGGTAAAAGTCTTACATATAAAGTGTGATTTTATCAATACATTCTATAAAAAACAATAATGAAAATTATAGATATTTTTGGCTTTATTATCTTTAAATAGAGAGCAGTACAACCTTATAATCTATTCTATTGCCTTCATGATCTCAACCATACTTTCTCAATAAGTAATACTCTATGTCCTAATTTTAATCGGACACAGTTTTAACTTAGTATCGGATGTTAAATAATGATTCGATTGTTTCTTTTATTTTTAAAGACTTCATTAGAAACGATATTCAGTTCATTTTAGTCATAGCTCAACCTACACCTTTTTGTTATAATATCAATGACAGTTATTGAGCTATTCATCGTTAATTTCAAGTAATTTTTATATTATCTTAGTTTTTAAGCTTTTCTAAGAGATTTAGAATAGAATGAACTCTGTTAGCACTTTTTTCAGTAGTTATCAGTTCATAACACTGACTTTTATTCCCCGTTACTGTTCTAAAGTTTTTGGTATATTATTGACTTTAATGAGCGTGACTAGGATATCAATACCAAATATTCTTTGCCACGTCTTTTTTGAAATATTTTATCATTTACCCAGTTGACGTAGCTCCAATTTTATTTCCAAAACAAGCGTCATCTCTTCTCGATTAGCTGATAAGTGTAGCGATTTATATATTTTTGATCAGCTCCTTTTTTGATACTGCCCCAAAAATACTTTAGATAAGTTTTTTCTTAAAAATGAGTAACATATAACCGATTTTCTCTATTGTATGACATATTTGTTTTTTTTTTTGTCAATTGTTCTTAGTTTCTTATCATATACTTGAACTTTTGTTGATTTTGTTGATTTATCTGTATAGATTAATAATGACTCCATATACTTCCACAAAAAAAGCTCCAAAAATGGTAAAACACTTAATCTAACGGGTCATACTACAGCTTCGTAAAAGTAAACAACGCCGCCAAAAAAACTTACCTTAATAACTGGTGGATTTTTCTGGTTATATAATGTATATTAAAGTCGCGTAGGAACTTAAAGCTTAGATAGGTCATGTTAACCCATTCCTAAAAACAAAATAATAAAAAGTGTAATACATAAGGGACATATGCTATTATAATATCTATAATGATATTCTTGCAGATAGTCTAATAGGTCAATCTGGCTATATATATCTGATAAACCTTAATACATATGTCAATGGATATTTCTATAGGACATAGTGTTACATAGTGTCATCAATTATTAGCTTTTTAATTAAAAAATAACAAAAAAATTGTATTATATTGAATATTTAATACAGTGATCTATAATATCTATTGTGCTATCGCTGCAAAAAATCTACTAGATCAATATAAACACATACAGCTAATAAGCGATAAGAATATCGCTTAATGGATAGAAGTTCCATGCCCTTTCAGTTCAATGGAAGCCAAATGTGGATATCAAATCTATCTCTTGACAGTTATGGCACATAAAATGATCAGATAGACTGATGTTTTAATGTGGAGAGAAGTGAGGAGACACGCTGTCATTTATCTGAGTTCAGATTCATTCATGCTAAGAAACTTGCCTGCTTTGACTCGATAGATTTTTTTATACTATTTTAGGTGTTAAACAATAGCAAAGAACTTTGTAAATATTTTATATGAGTATTCAGTATTCAATGCTTATTTTTTAGATCCAGTTTTATATATTCAAATATGCCATATACAGCTTTGTCAGCTTGTTGAATTATATTTTTGAAACGATTGTCACCAATTTTAGTAGATTATCATGTATTATTTAGGCCTTTTCTTATTGATTAATCCAAAAACATCTTATGAAATCTAAGTATTAGATATATAATTAGTTCGACTGAAATCAGCTCTTTCAACTGATTTCAGATTCTTTAGCATATACAACAACCAAATTTTTTTTACATGAAAAATTTATATTTTAAGGATAACTTAAAGCATGTATACCCTGTATTGTAAAGCTTTATTAAAAGCTTTACACTTTTTTGCGCTTTAAGCTTTTTCCTTCATCTATGATTGACTAGCGGATTTATATAAACTTTTATTAAAATTTATATGTTCTATGGCAAGAAATTCATTTTCATATAGCAAACGAGGGAATAGTAAAAAAATCTAAATCCTTAAAATTATTTTTAATTAAGTGAATTTTTAGGTAGTCCATGTTCCTTTTTTAGATATCATCAGTGGTCATATCAAATAATCGTTATCAGTGATCTTTGAAAATATTAACTGGTTTAATGAATAATACTTAGACTGCAAATGACAAGCGTCGAAGCCTGTCAAAATTTCTTGAATTTCCCATCCTGGTTTTACAAATCCTTTCAACCAATTTTTTAAGAACTTCATACCCTTATTAAGATGAATGATTCCTAAATTTTTACTTCAATTTTATTAACGACTATAAAATATTCAACTTTTAGTGATATAAAAATCACTCTAATCAGTTATTTGGTTTCGATTTAGAAATATAATAATTATAGAAAAAGATAAAATGTTGTTCGTTTTAATGAAAAAATTACATAAAGAGGTTTTTCAAACAGTAGTGAAATACAACAACAAAAATTTTATTTTATATATTATTTTAATTAATTGAATTTTTGGCTGACCATACAGCTGTTTCGAGTATTGCCAAATACCCATCATCAGTGATCTTGGTCTAATATAAACACAGCAAGTAAAATTGTTAATAAAAATTTTCATAGTAATAATAACAAAACTCCAGAAAAATATACGAACAAAAAAGTCAAGTACGGCTTTGGATCAGTTGGTTGAGGTGCGCTGATTCGGAGCTTCACATTTCGCAGGACTCGAGTTCGATTCCTGGTACTTGCAGTCTAAAAAATAATTATTTACGAATAATTAAATACAAGAATTATTTCCAAGACCACTGATGATGGGTATTTGGCAATACTCGAAACAGCTGTATGGTCAGCCAAAAATTCAATTAAATCAAATAATATATAAAATAACATTTTTTTTGTTGTAATTCACTACTGTTCGAAAAACCTCTTTATGAAATGTAACAAATTTCTATTAAAATATAATAGTCACTTTCGTCTGGAAAATTTGACGTTAAATTACAACTTATATAAAAAAATTACAATAAATATTTCTTCTAAAAATTGAAATATTAATTTGGTAATTTTATTTTCTTACCTATCTCTAGTGCTCTTTTCACCGGGCACCAACTGAAACCAAAACTCTATGCCAATCCATATTATTTCTCAGTAATGTAATAATTCACATTAATAACATTATAACTTCAACAATTTCATGTTAAAATTATAGTTCATTGTGTAGAATTTTGATCCATTTTGAATTTCTCTCTCTTGTTGAGGTCTATATCATATTGATATGAGATCTACACTACAGTTTCTTTTTATTTCAAGGATAAAAAAATTTTTTTTTAAATTTTTGTTGATTAATCGCTATTCCGAATAAAAAACATATCTGACCATATTTTTAAATTGGTATTAGATTAGATTGGATTTGCGGTCTTGTATACCAAAGCCGATTTCAACTCAACGGGTTAAATTGTTTATACGCACATCGGAAGGACCTCCCAAGAGATTGGCGTACAGGTAATGCTAAAGAACACAATTCACCCATTCAAGAAACAGTCAACCAACCTGACAAGTCAGCAAAGTTGTCTAAGTCCTTACTTTTACAAGATACGACCTGAGAGTTGTCAGGTCGGTAACAAAAGGCGTCACAAAGATTTGTGACTTTCTAAAGATGGGTACTGACAAAGATTGTCAAACATGGATTCCTCTGCTTCTTCATAGCCACAACCACGACAATTTTCATTACAGTATATATCCAGCATCATAATGGTCTTTATACGTAGAGACCTGTCAGCCTTGATGATGTAGTACTGAGTAGGTTTCGTTTTAATTGATGCAGCTGATTATTCATGTCCAGTTCAGACCAGATCGAACTTGTGAATTTTATAAGAGCTCTCAAAGCGTATTTATCAATTTTTACTTGTTATTCAATTAACAAGATTTAATTTAATAATTTATTTGGAAATCGAGGACTATATATACACTGCCAAAAACAGCTGTTAAAGCTATAAATCTTGAAAAAATCAGATATGGCAATAAAACAGAAAAAATAATAAATTAATTTAAACCGCGTCTGGAGAACATATACCTATGCTATATTAATATGATGCATACAGCTTCTCCTATTCTTTTTTAATGGTTTATTAATGTAGAAGTCATTAATTTATTAATACAAGATAAGAAAATATTTTATAGCCAACAATGCTACAAGATATCAGTTAATTCCAATTAAAAAAAAAATTTTAATATCTTTTATTTATTTACTTATACACATAAAACATATATAGTTTTCTTAACACAGTTGAAATAAATTACAATTATTGCAATAATATATTATTTAATTAAAAAATGTTTTCTAATAAACAATAAAAAATTTTACTCTTCCTTTAAATGCGATTATTTTGTGATGGCATTGTGTTTCCATTATCCTTCTTGCGTTTGGTCAAACTTTCGCCTTCTGTGTTTTTAACACTACTAGCACCCTTTCGCTTACTGGACTTAGCAGCTTTAGTCAAAGTACGAACATCCAACGCATTAACACCATGCAAGCCTTGCATGGGTACAGGTTGAACTACTGGTAATAACACTTTAGAGTCTTCTGCACCCAACTTACCATTCATCACATCAACAGTTATGCGCTCTGCTTTGATCACTGTACGTGGTATTAATGCACCAGGTGCTATCATCAATAAATTATTACTGCGGTGAACACTATGTAGAATTGCACTCCGTTCACATTTCACTAGAAACTGAGGTCCTACACGTTGTTGCTCAAATGAACTAACAACATGACCATTACCATAAGGAAGTATAGAATCATGACCATTAGATAGACGTTTATCATTATTATTAGGCTCATTTTCAGCTCCATCAATATCTTTTTGCTGCAGTTCATCTTGTTGCTTCTGCCATTCCAGAACATTTGTTAATAATTTTATGTATTTAATAGCTGAACGTAAGATTTCATTTTTCGATAATTTCTTATCTGGTGGATGAGTTGGTACCAATTTTCGTAGTTCAGCAAATGCACCAGAGACATTCTGTTGACGCCAACGTTCACGTGTATTTGTAAAAACTTTACGCACTACGCCAACAATTTGGCCATTATTCACTGCTCCATTAGTCGGAGAGGTATTGGATTGTATTGGAGACTGAAGCAAGTTCATATTTCGTGGTGAGTTTGAGAGAGAACGCGTTACTAATTTAAAAATAAAATGAAAAGGTTAATTAATTTAAAAAATATGCTGCACGAATTGAGTTAATATATAGTAAAACTAAGTCTAATAAACAAAATAATAGTTAGATCGCATTGCAGTAGATTTAACAGTGTTTAAACGTATAGATGTGAATAAAGAGAACTAAAAAAATTTTTATTTATTTATTTATAACAAAAAATTTTTATTTAATTTTTTGTAAATTTTTATTATAACTATTTGTTTGTAATATATATCTAAAAATACATCTAGTTTATAGAGTATAATCTAGTACAACAGTTATTTTGTATGTTATAGCCAAGTAAACTCATTCATAAGTAGACTTGATATGTATAAATTTACAAAAAAACTTATTAACTCAAAAACTATGAAACTAGTGTCATCTATAGATAGATGAACAGAGAAACAAACAGATGCACTATAGACAGATTACAAAATAAAAATATAAATAAATATGGATTCATATTATATATCAATTTGTCTTGTCTGATTTTCAAAATAAAACAAATTATTTATGGTCTTTTACGTTTCCCTTACAACGCTATGAACACCTGAATCAATTCAATAACACCCATTATTTACAATAATGTCAAGGGTACCAAAATAGGGATAATTAAAAAACCGTATACAAAATATATCTCTCTTCGTTTTGAGACATTATAGTATAAATAAAAATAAACTTATCATTAGACTGCTATAATAATTCGAATTGAAGGTAAAAAACCTACATATTTTGTCCATCGAACTGTACTCCACATCAATAATAGAAACCACAATTCATATTAATAGAAAAATTCTCTATTAATATAATATTTTAAATATAGAACAAAAAAATAAAAGAATTTAATGAAGACGTGCAAAAAGTGTTCCCCGTGTTTAGTTACTGAAGTTGTTGCCTTGGTGGGATCGACATCAATTGATTTAGAACGGAATCTCTATAACTTATTCTTCCTTTTTTTAAATTAATATCCTAAACTATCAACATACGTACAACAATAAGCAATATTTATAATGTAAACAAATTTACAAAAAGGAATATTTAGCAGCTTGAACTGAATAGTTCTGGATCCCAAGGAAGCAATCTTAAAGATCTAGCGGGCAAATCTACGAAAACGGCTTAAACCTGTTCAGTTATCAGCCTATTATTTGGCAAATTAGATCATTAGGCTGGTTTCTCGTAGCGTTTCTATGCTCTTTTTCAAATTTCTTCTGTTATATTCAAACCTTAAATTCTCTATATAATTATATATTTCTAGTGCGTTAACAATAATTCTGCTAACTTCTGACTGAAAGCATTGTAATATCTTCAAGTTTGGTTTTGTGGCAGTTCCCCAAATTTCAATAGTGGAAGTCCAGATCGATTAATGTAATTATTGTATTGATTGATTGAATTGGATAGATTGTAAGCCCAGACTGTCGTGCTATAGCCCTATGCAGACCACTTAGTGTAATAACCGATGCTTTGTCTTATGTGCCTATATGGTACTGCCACGTTAAGCTTGCGTCAACATGTATAACTAGACACCTAGCTTTCGTTGAGTAAGTATTAAGGCATTGTTAAGACAAAGTTTAAATAAAATATATATTGATAATCTAATGAATATTTTTACTCTCTTTTCGGAATGCATAGAAAAATAATTAAAAATTAAATAATTAATTTCTTTAATAGAATAGATTATAAGTAAATTGTAGCAAATTTTAACTTTTGGAAAGATGACATGAATTAAATTTTCGTCGTATACTAATAAGCTATAGGGTTCTGAAAACTGAGGAATATTGATTTTTTTCTTTATGATCTATTTAATCACAATTTTAAGCTTTTAGAAAGCTTCTAAATAAATTATTTGCGATTTGTATAATTACTTCTGAGATAGCATAGATAACACGGTATTTTAGTATAATATAGACAATTAAATACATAAGTCTCAGTTATTTAGTATTAAAGATATGATGTTTCGTATAAAGTAAAAATATGGAACAGATATATGTGAAATTCACAAAACACTGAAAACTAATAGTTATAGTTTAAATACCCACCATCCGTTTGATTGCCATTAAGTAGAATACAATTACGATATTCTTCCTCATCGTCTTCGGTATCATTTAGAGAAAAATCAGATAAATCTCCATCAGAAATTGACTCCGTCTTCGGTTGTAAATTATTTGCTGGCAATTGTTGAATGGAAATGAGTGCCGGAGGTTTGCCATTTAACTTGGGCACTATAGAGTAGTTTGGAGTTTGTGTCACTATAGTTGATATACTCTTGGACATTTGTAGAGGTGCAGTATTGGAATTGGAAACTTCCAATTTTGTCGATGTGCTGCCATTCATTGTCAAATTCTCAGCAATTGCACTATTAACTGAAGACGTAGAACTACGATCATCAGTTTCAGTTGAAGTTATCCACGACATAATAGATTAACGTTTACGCTTATTAGTTTTAATTTTTAATTCATTAAATCAATTATTAATCAATTAAAATTATCTAATAATTGTTGATTTCTTAAACACTATATTAATTAATTTTAAAATTTCATCAATTTTTGTAACAATTTTTTTATTTTTCAATAATTTCACACTTAAAATACAAAATTCGAACTTCACAGTTCAGCTTCCGAAGAGTTAATAAAACATATATTACAGCAACTATTCCTTTAGATACATTTTAAATGTATGTATAGAAAACACACCCTTAAAGTAGGCGGAGCATGTGAAAAATACACTTCTTGCATGTGAAAGCATTTGCAATTATAGATATTAAGAAGGAACTACCCTTCCAAATAATTTACAGCTAGGTAAAAAATTCTAGTGTTGAGAAGATGATATGATTACTTATAGTTGCTACTTGAAATTGTAGAAAATATGAAATTATTTTAATAGAAATTTTTTCATAATTTGTATCACAAATTCTTTGGAAGATATCTTTAATAGGGCGTGATAGATGACTATTGAAATGGCTAATAACCTCAGTCGGTATTTTTTGAATGTTTTTTTTTTTTTTGAATAGGTGTAAACACTGAACAATATATATTAGGTATGCAGATATTAGTTGTGTAAATTAAGAACAAAATATTTTTTCTAAGATACAAAATATTCTTTCAATATTAACTTTTTCTGAAATAAAAAGAAGACACCAAAAACTTTACTGCTCCAAGTCCTCATCTATCACTGAATATATCTACATATTGTTACGCATAAGAAAGCAAAAGACAATCAAAATGAAAACACTGAACTCAATAATAGTAGATAAATATGATATGCTGATTACATAGCTACTCTCCAAATCATTAAATATCCACCATTAGTTAAATTTATTCAGCGCTATACCGTTTAAATTGCAAATCATTTAAAAAATCCAGATTATTAAATATCCATCATCCGTTAAATTTATTTGATACAATTTAAAATGATTATACGTTATTCAAGACCATACTATATATAAATTTAAAAACTATTAATGCCTTATTACATTTCTGTCAAATAAGTTAAATTTATATATCCATTAAATTTAAATTCATACATATATATATGTGATTAATAGGATCTCGTTTAAAATCACAAATCAATATTCGGTTTTTTATTAATAATAAGAAGTATAAAAATTGTTTTTAATTTCTATTTTAAAAGGTATTCAAATGTTCACTTTTAAATTGATCTATTACCGATTTATATCAGCTTGTAAAATAGATTATTTTGTTGAGTGGATTCTCCCAAACTTAAGACAAGAATTAAAATAATCTTATATAAAATTTCTCTCATTTTTCATAATAAAATTTTTTAACATTATTCGACTACTTTTTGAGTAACTGATTTTTTAGGTTACTTTATAGAACGCCCCATCACTAAGCATATTTCAATGTTACTGTTTGAAGTAACTTCATTGTTTACATTTCTATAGTTATTTCCGTTTTAAGAGCCCAATACTAAAAGATCAACCTATATTAATCGAATTAAAAAAACAATCAAAAATTCATTACCACTCAAACGATTTGTTACCCTCACTTAATAATTTTTATCTAAAATATTTTTCGCACTTACGCCTGAGAACTTCACTTTAATCCTTATCACAGAGAGGCAGGAACGTACATATCAATTCTCCCTATGCAATACAACTCCGGAGACATACAAAGCACACACGTTTGTTTCTATTTTGACATCCGCTTAACTTATGCCACATAATTGTGCCACTAAGCGGATTAATAAAAAATATAATCAACAGGATCAAAAATCAAGAGTTCCTGAAAGGATGTGAAATCACAACCAAATTAGCACTAAACTAATCAATGTTGGACCTGCTTATCATTACTGAGCAGTTTTTACTTTTTATGAGTTATAATAAAAAAATATGGGTGTGGTCACGTGTGCACTGAAATTTGTCAGTTATAGCACGTGTCTATAACGGATTGAAGTTGGTTTCTTTTATTTTGTTGGAAGATCTGAAAAATAATCAATTAAAGAATGAATATGAATATTTCATCCTACCTCAGAGAATTGTTAAAAATATATAGGAATTATATTTTAATGTTTATAAAATATCAATATAATTTATTTGTTTTAATACTTTATTAATTTCTTACTGAATGCAGTGCTGTTTTTTTTTTTTTTATTAATATTATGACTTAACGTAAACATCTTACCCAGCGTTAGCATTAACTTTCACCCGTCCAGATTTTACATCAATTACAGTATCGATTCAGATACTCTGCTAATATCTTTTGACCTTTAATATTTGGAGAACGTCACTGTGTACCTTACAATATAACATATATTTTTCTGTTTATTACAATCGTTATTACAATCTAAAAAAGCTATTTGTAGATCTTCAGCTTTAAGAAAATATATCAGTCTTCATGCTATCATATAAAGGTCAATACTATTTTATTGCTTTTAACTATAACAGCATTCTTACTATTACTGCATTCTAAAAATGCATTTGTAGAGCTCTATCTTTTAGAAAAAACTATATACTCGTTGTTGAAATTGTTTCCCAATCACACCGAGTAGTGCCCAACAAATGCTTAAATATCGGTTTCTCATATTTTATATTCACAAATTAATGTCATGAAATATGAGGCATATGTGATTTCACAATATGCTTTAATCAACATGTTTTATATTTTCCTTCACTGTACACAGATTAACTAATGATATTATTAACAAACTACAAATATCTATAATCTAGTTCTACTTTTCTGCAGCACTTGATCAACTACTGCTCATTTAAAAGCTGGAAGTCAAAACAGGCTAGAAATGTCAATAAATGTAGTTGAGGAAATGCTTAATCATGAGCGACAGTCTCTGAAAGATTCAGTGTAATTAGACTATACTGAAATTCGTCAGGTACTCTAACTGACGACTGTTACTTAATAGAGCTTTAAACCAACGCTTCGTAGCGGAACCGAACCGAACCGAAAACCGAAAAAAACCGATATTTTTGCTGGAACGACAACTGGAAACGAATACCGGTATAATTTTTTTTTTGTTGAACCGAAACGGAAAAAATTACTGGTCGAAGCCCTGCTTTAAACAATGCTGTCTATTAAAAATTTAAAAAAGACCGCGCTATTAGAAATAAGCGAATTCAGAATTAACTAACTTTTTGATATATTCCATTTAAGGCTAGACTATTTTTCAAACTGACTCTTTAGGCATTTTTTTCTTAGGAATTTATGTTGATAAGGACCAAGATCCAACCTTGTTAAATGTCATCAATTGTCATTAAGGTTCAAGTATACGTAGCTCTTAACAACCTATCGCAACAGTACAGATACTCAATCCTTAGTAAAATACTTAATTAACGTGTGATTCTGGTATATGTACCGACAATTAAATAAATAACTCCAAGCTCAAACAAACAATTCAAGTATCGTTTTGAGCCAATTAACTAATGAATACTGACTCTGAGCTTCAAATTTTGCAGGGCGCAAGTTACGAGTTCAAGCTCTGGTACTTGCAGTCTCAAAAAAATATTAAATAATTATATAATTAATTAAAATAAAAAATTTCAAGGCTACTAATGACGGGTATTTGACAATATTCGAAACTGGTGTGTGGTCAGCTAAAAATACAATTAATTAAAAATAAAAAATATTCGTTGTTGCAATTCACTATTGTTCGATATAAAACCTCTATATTGAAAATACTAGTTTATATCAAGAATTTAGTTTCTTTCTTCAAATCGGACATTAATAATTTATTTAATACAGATAACTGATGTTAAATATTGGGCAGCTGTATGGTTGCATTATTTGTGAAATTTGTAATAATTTAGGCTAAACTATTTGAGTCTTGTGTGGAACGTACTAAACATAAATACATAATTAATATTATTATTTGTTTAATTTTATTTTTTATTTATTTAATTTCCACATCATTGAAACTATATTTAATATTTTTTTATTGACTGCAGAAACAATAAGCACTATTTTAGTGGTAAGGACTGATATATATAGAATAGTTAGAGTCATTTCTAGTATAGAAGAGTAAGGACTTAATCCATCCCGCCGAATTTAAATAATTTAATGGGTCTTTCATCTTCACCGATGAACGGATTGATAAAAACTATCAAAGAAGTATCTTCCTAAAAACATATATCTTCTGGACACCAAAGCCGGGCATTCACAGAGAAAATGTATTATGGTTTCTTTTTTTCCTATGGATGTCCACAACTTCTGCAGTGAGGATTATGAGAAATGTGCAGTTTCTCTGCATGGGTTCCTATACACCAATGACCAGAAAGAACTGCAGTAAGCCTTGCAGTGTTCACGTGTTCTCTTTTGATGAGTTTAGAGGATCTATTTTTGTTATTGATGGGCCATGTTAACCTGAAAGTTGCACATTTCTTAAGTGTTTTTCATCTGTTATTGGCAAGTTACAGAAAGTAGAGGAAGGTACTTCTCTTAATGGTTTAGGGTAATATTAACTAGTACTGCCAGTGACACATCCAGGAAAACACCAGAAAACACCAGTGTTAAACTATCAGCTTTCTCGTTCCCTTCGATGTTCTTATGTCCAGGAACCCAAATGAGTTCAGTGTTTACATTTCAGTGTTTATTTATATATTTTTATTTTGTATTCTATTCTTTTTATTCAATATTTCTATACGGTATTTGGATCACCATCTGCAGAAGCAACTTACGTATTAGGGGTTAAAATTTACCTTTTCATTTGTAGAACTTTTCGTATTTGCGTTCTCTAAACTTATATGTATTTATTTATATGTTTAAAAAGATTTTTTAATTGCAGAAATAATAAAATTCGTTAATAATTATATACATATGCATAACTTATTTAAAAATAAGTAAAAAATAATCTTTACATTGTGATTTTCTTCCGTAATCTAAATATTTAAAATGTAATATTTATACAAACTATGTACGATACTAATTTAATACTTTCTTACTTAGTATACGAATATGGCTTATCTCTTCCTATAAATGTTATTTTTTTCTCAAGCGATTTTTCCTCAATTTTTTCCTATTGTAAGAACCTAAGTGTCCCTTTTTCAATTAATGCAATCAAAATTAATCCGAGATTGGTTATCGAGATTGCGACGCGTGTTAACCAGTTCGTTGGCATCAAGGCGTGCCAGAGTTAATATAGGCGGATTTACTGAAATGTCCTTTTTCTGCTTTGCATTTTTATCAGCATAGAAATTATCTACAAATTTGTAATAATATCATAACTTCATCATTTCTAGTTAAAAAACACTTTTTAGAAATAATTTTTATGAATTGAAAATTATGTGAAATGAAAAAATTGTTGAAAACAAAATACTCAGATTAAATTGTTAAAACTTGTATTTTATTTTTCTAATTTTTCAAGGTGTATAACAAGGCTAGAGAAATAATCATCAAAACTCGAGGCATTTATATAAAAATACCGTGCTCAAATAGTGGTAATAAGTCTAGTACCCATTTTCGGAAGGACCACCTCCTCCGTTACACGAATATTTATCGGGACAACTGCCTCCGCCGCCAGCAGGACTTGGATTACCTAAAGTAAATAAGGATATTCAAATTAATTGTAAAAGTTCTTACAATGATAAAAAATACTATTTACCCAAAGTCAAACCAATTAAGGCTACTACAAGCAATAATAAAACGTACAGATTCATTTGATTGCTATAATATTGAGTGTTTCAAATAGAATACGTTTGCATTTCGAAGGTACTCGTTTTTATAGGTATCAACTGCTTAACCCTTTTAATGTCAATTACGGGTTTTACCCATTTTACTATTGGGTTTTTAATAAAAATTAAAATCTAATGACCTCAGTACAATAAGAGAAATGCGATTTAAGCTTACAAAAAAAAATGTTGTTATCAACCTTAGTGTCTCTCATTTATTCTCTATTCAGATTGATAATGCATCAATCACATGTGTTCACATTACTGATAAATCATTTTAGTTTTATTTATTCTTTTTCTAGATTTTATATTTCTCTACATATAATAATATTAAATTATTTGCATTTAATATATTCTTAGCATATTAAACATTAATGTAATCCTTATATTGGTGATATGCTACTATATCTGTATCGCACATATATTTTTGTAGCATATCTTCTATGGAAAAGATTTAGAGTCTTTTTTAACTGAATTTTAACTTATTTCCAGAATCTTAAAGAAACAAATTAAAAAGTTATATTCGACAGAAGTGCTATTACTACCAGATCAGACCTACAGAGGATAACCTACTATTAACCTACGGTTAATAGCATTTCTATGAAACCTAACTTTACTATTTTTTTAAATAAAACTTTTAGTATTCTATATCCACTTATGAATAAATATTGATTCCCTTGCAATTTTAATATTATTAATAATTTAAATTTAAGACCTTGATAGGTTCAAAATTTATTTTATGCAAATTATATAATATGCATTGCAGAATTATTGTATATAAATCGTACTAGAGTGAGTGGATCGATTAACATGCCTATTTATATAAAAAAAAGAGTTGAACAATGGTAAAAAAATAACATTTTTATATCTAAAAACTGTCTTCTTATAATAGACTAAAACTGTCTTTCCACTAGACTAATCTTATATACAACATACGCTCTATGCAACAAAAGAGTGCGTACATTCCTGTCATCGGCTCAAATCAGCGAGTTCCTAGAAGCCAGCTTTAGAGAAATGCAATATTTTTATTAGAAGAGATCTTTGAAACAGATATATAAATGAGATTGAAACGTATTGGCTGTATTTATCATCAAAGTCTATAATACTAAAAATATTATTGTTATATAAATTTAAATATTTAAATACATAATGTTATATTATTTATTTTCCTTAATTATGTGAGCTTTTTTATATGCATTTATTATTATATATCTTTTGTTTCAGTAAAAAAAAAGAATGAATTTCATAATTTAAAATTCATATCAATCCATACTGGTTTTACTTGAAATTTAAAGAATTTTGCGAGATGGTTGTCATGGACTCTAATAACAACATTTTTTCTATTTGGAAGAGTTTATATTCACAGACAACAAGTGTTTGATGATCTATAGCTGCTGATATTGGTTATTAATATCGATCAGACCGTAGTAATTGCCAACGAATTTCATTAAGATTTAAAAACAAACAAAACAAATATTGTACAGGACTATACATTATATTATTTGGACCTCGAGTTATAGGGAGGATTACTGTATATAATATCTTCGATGAATGTTATGTTTGACTTACAAAATAGTGCTGCCAAATAAAGACCATTACATCGATAACTTCTTCAATTATAATAAAAAGTGTGTTAGACTGACTATATGTCGTTTTTTATCAGATGAAGAAAAAACATTTAATAGTTAGCAAGTAAAAGTTAGTAACTTTAAGATATCCAGTCAAATACTAGTAAACAACACAGACAGTATTATTATGTTGAGTAAACAATTTAGGATATGGTTTTATTTGTTCAAAGGACACTTCAGATCCTATTAAGTAATCAGTTAGCTTTCAAAAAAGACTTTTGAAGTCCGTCCATACTTCGAAATGTATATGTCAATAACACACCAAACTTAATAATCAATTTCATGTGATATGGTGTTGAAATATATTGCTAGGTTTTGAATTGATCAAAACCTAGCAATATTTGGGAACTATTTCAATAAAGAAAAGGAGGAACAAATTGCTTTGTGTCCGTTGCATTTGGTTAAGATATGAGTAATTATAAAACCGAGTTGAGTTATTTAAACAAATACATTATCCAACTGAATTAAAACTTATCAATTATATTAAGAAATAAATATCTAATAGTAGTATTCACTTTTATCTATTCGTAATATAATTCAGAAAATTAGGAAAGAAAAAAACTTGATGTTTACAAACCATTTAGTCAAATGACTAGTAAAATTTTTTTGAAACAATTAATTTCGAGAGTGCTAGATATCAACAATTATTGGATTAAATTTTATATACGGAATAATTAGAAATAATGTGCTAGTTAACAATAAAAACAATAAACAAATAAGATTACAATATATATAGGCATTTTATTAAAATCAAACTGTTCTCATATGTTTTCAAATGAAAAATTTTAAAATATATTTTTCATAGTCCGAAAATTTTACTCTTAGTTTAATTAAAACATTATTTGTAAAATAATTGTAACCCATATTTGGAAATTTTTAACCGCTACCGCCTTTACCACCTTTGCCGCCAAACCCGAAACCACCATTTCCTCCAGCACCTCCATAACCACCATCAGGACCATATCCACCATAGCCATATCCACCATCTGGACTACCTCCGCCTCCTCCACCTCCACCATAAAAACCGCCGTCTCCACCCCTTCCACCATATGGACCACCACCATCACCGCCTCTAACACTATTACCACCCCTACCTCCATATGGTCCACCACCATCTCCACCTCTACCACCATATGGTCCACCACCATCTCCTCCTCTACCACCATACGGTCCGCCACCACCTCCTCCACCGCCGTAAGGACCACCTGGTGCTCCAGGTGCTCCAAATGGTCCACCACCTCCTCCTCCTCCACCTCCATGTATACCACCATCACCACCTCTGCCCCCACCAGGGTAGCCGCCACCACCACCTCCTCCAAATGGTCCTCCGCCACCGCCACCATTTGAACCACCACCGCCACCATATGGACCACCACCCCCGCCGAATGGGCCACCTCCTCCACCGCCACCACCTATACCACCGCCTCCACCTCCGCCACCACCGCCAGCACAGCTGCTCTGCTCAACGCAGCATAATATTATACTGCAACCGAGTAATGCAAACGCAAAGAAAAGTTTCATCTTTAATATTTTAACTGTAACAATTTATTATTAAATCTGCTCTTTTATACACGTTTATTGATTTGCAAATATCAAAGTATTCTCGCATTCTATATTCACATATAGTTGACTATTTTTTAAAAATTGCACATATGTTCGGTATATTCGACTATTACTGGACACTACAGGAATAAAAAATTACATTTTATACAATAATGATATGTTGCAAAGACTTGTATTTATTTCTGTTATAGATTATATATTTCAAATGAGTTGAGCACTGACGTCTTGAGTGCTTGTTTGAGTAATGCCTGAATCGTGTAATACCACTTCTTAATCGTTATTAGTTCAATTTCTTAGCGAATGTTATATACAATTATGGGTGCGTTAATGAAAAAAAAAAAAAAACTACTATTTTATCAAGGCAATACACCGTTTTACAGGTTGTTGGTTACATTGGCAAAACTGAAAAAACTGTACTTCAAAATACTTTCCTATACACAATATTCGCCAGCTGTAGTCCCTAGACCCTAGAATACACCAGCTGTTCACAGACCTTAAAAAATGCGTCAAGAGAAATGATATTTGTCCAATGTTGAAGTCATCACCGAAACAAACGCATATTTTGAGACCAAAGATAAATCTTTCTACAAACGACGTACCCAAATGTTAGAGAAGCGTTAGAATGATTGTATTAATCAATGATTGCTCTTGAAGAAAACCATGTTGATAATTAAAATTCAGTTTTACCAAAGAAAAATTGTGTTTTTATAACTACGTCGAACTTTTTTTCTGATATAATATATTAATAAACTTTTATTTAATTTTGTACGCTTACGAATTAATACTGTTAGAAATTAGTACATCCAGAAATTTAACCCCGTTAGTACATTTTTACTTTTAAAAACCTTTAGAAACCGTTTAAAAACCGTTAAAAATAAATATAGTTTGGAAATGAAAACTGCACCAAAAATGAGTGGTAAAAGTCAGTAGAAAACATTATCTTCATTGTAGATTAATTAATAAGTATAAATATTCAAGAAATATAATTCATACATTGTAAAATTAAAACTTATTATATCCAGACAAATGAAACTCTTAAGTAGCCGCCATCCATAAACTCCATCAAACCCAATAGACGAGAAACATAATCAACACCATCACTTCACCGCCGGAGTTATAAAAGCACACCTACGCCCCATGTTAAGTTAATGGAATATGTGTTTTATTTAAAATCAATATAATAGAAATTATATTTTTCTTTTAAATTAAAGTATTTTTTATTATTAGATAGGTTTTGAATAGTACTGAATTGCAACAATAAAAAATTGTTTACATTTTAAATAAATCATCAGGATCAGGATGAATTAGTATTAATTAAATCTATATCGGAACGCCATGCTCTTGATTCTGTTATCTATATTGCTATATTGGAATAGTGCAATATAGACTACGCAATCAAGAACATGACGTTTAGATATAGATTTTATTAATATTAATTTATGTTAGATCCTAATCCTGATGATGACTCTCAAGCAGAGTCAAAATATAGAATATATAAAAAATTTTTAAACAAACGTTTAAATTTAATTTTAACAGAAAGTGACATATAGCCGAATATAAAATATATAACAAACATTATTAAAAAAATCAGGTCGGAAAATAAATTCAAAATTTAACATTTTAAATATATATTTTTTAATATAGATCACTATCTGCCAGTGTCTTCCACTATTAAATATATTAAAATTGAATATTATTTAATTTATATTTATATTTTTAAAATGTAAATTGCTTATCTAACCTTTAGTACTTTGTTTCACATTTCTAGAATTCCAAGTAAATGAAGGAGCATCACAGATGAGGTAATGAATTTGCTTACCTAATTAACTACTTGGGAAATTCTGAAATGATAATAAAAAAAATTTATTAATAAAATATTCAAACCCTATCATAGAGTTCGAATAGACAGACATAGATCATTGCTGTATATATTTAAAAGTAAAAATATTTATACAAACTTGAGTTATATGAATTGTAAGATTATCTACAATTATTGCATATTCTAATCACATATTCTAATACGAGTGTTATTGAAAGTTCAGAATTACTATCGCATACATCAACAGAACTGCAAAAACAACTTACAGCACCTAAACCTTATGAAATATTGACTGTGAAATATTTATAAAATTTATAGTAATTCGAGTCAAACAAAATGCAATCTAAAATGAATTAATAGAAGTCATTTTTATGCTGTTATCTCAATGTTAACTTCATTTAGTGCATGTTTGGAAGTATATTGCTAAGGCAAGGCCTCATTAAATGGAAATGGTAGTATAAAATATAGAAAAAAGTTAACGTCCCATGCAGAAAATGCAGAATTATATCGAGATACTCAATTTAACATTATCCATTTTTCTGATATTTATTGACAATTACACATCGCTTACTGAATCCAAAAACTAACTAGTACTCTTTCACTGTAGTCTTTTAGATTAATTTTATGCCAGCTAAAGAGTTCTGCAGGGATCAAAAGAAATATGACAGTATAATAGAACAACTATACGATTTATATATCAAATATCTCCAGGCAACTGTTCTCACAAAAAATATATGGATATAACATAGCACTGTGGTAATGAAATACACCTTTTCTTTTTATCAATTATAACATCCTTTTTTTAAATTTCTCACTGTATTCGCAAAAAATTAGCTACCAATTAAGATTTAAATTAATCGCGAAATCACGCTTTTGTAGCTCATAATGAATGGCAACCCTAAGGTCCCACCAAACATACATCATCCCATTTGTTATCAATATCAGCTTAATCACAATCCGTAAACCTTCGTCTTTTTTTTATGAAGACCACTCCCATACAAGATTATCATATGTAATTCAATGTTCCTTTCCTGTCGTCATATAGCACTACCGGCCGCATTAAATTTATTAGAATGGTTTGATTTGTTTAATGAAAATACTTTACTAGAATTTACTAGAAATTTAAAAGAAATGATGTTCGTATGTCATAATAAGTTTTCTACACTCACACCTTATATCTGAATAAACACGACTTGAATGACACATCTAAAACCTGCAAATTATTTTAGTTCTGATCTGAGACTATTAGAACCTGCTATCAATTATTTATTCGTCAAAGAAAACATATTTTGCAGATGCAAAATAAACTTAAGCTTATGAAAAACGCCGAATATTTTTTATTCAATCCATCATCTTTACTCTAAATGAATTTAAGCCAAAAATTATGCATCATCACTATCTTTAATATATTTATTATATAAAATTATCTTTTTTATCTTTTTATAATAAAAATAATATATTAAATAAAGAAAAATAAAATTAAATAGACTTTACACCCTACGCACATGAATCTATCAAAGATAATAATGAAAGTAAATATTAACTGTGTACATGTGGACAATCAAATTTTGGCCATATGTAGATGCATGACACTTCAGAGATAACATTATTTTATCAAATATATTTTGAGACTAATTGTGTGCCTAATGAAACTTATTTCAAGTGTTTATATACACTTACGTATAACTAATATGTATACATATATTTAGTTTGCTTATTTAAGGAAACTATTTATAATAGGAAACACCCAACTACTCAGGAAGAACTATTTTTGTACCATCTATAGATAATACACAGTTGCTCAAAATCAAACTTATTTGTACCAAACAAAGGAATTCACAAAGTAACCTTCATATATACTCGATAACTTATAAAACATAACGTATCAAACAACACATTTGTTTGGGGACCAATTATTGTAGTACGGACGTCTAAACTCAAGCCCATAAATATAAGAATCGACAACAAATTTTATTTATAGCAAGTGTCAAGCTCAACATTTGTATCTAGACATCAATGGTCCGCACTTTCTTTCATTGATAATTTTTTGTTATTATTTGTGATTTCCATATGTTAGTCGAATATTAAATAATTTATCTATAAAACGAAATCAGGAATTTTGAATTAAATCTTATCTCAACAAAAGCCAAATCTTATCATTTCAGCATTTTTCCAAAGTTTTTGCAAAATATATTAACGCAAATACTAATCACTTTATTGGTAACATTTAATCCGTCTAAAGCACAGTTGTGTTAAGTCCGCCGGTAGAAGAGAACGTTTAATCGCCTTAACGCGCTGCTTTGCAATATTCATAGTTAAAAATGTATCTCATTGCCACAGTCTTTACCGCACTTGGTATATTTGTCGCGTTAGCGGGTTTAATCATTGTAATACTGCGACAAAAATCACGTTTGATATTTGGCATATATCCACGTAAAGGATTATTCTATCATTTTAAATATAGAATAGCACTTCTGGTACTTAAGTATTTACGTCAAAAATTTTATTATAAGAACGAAGAGAAATACAATACACCTAACTTTTTGGAGAAATTAGATAAACCACAGTCACTTTCCGATAATCCAAAAAGTTATGATGTCGTCTCGTTTATGGGTGCAAATGTAAAAGGTGAGAAACTGATGATTACAATGGAACGTCGACGTCGTGGAGTTTTGAAAGCATGCATTTATATTTGGCTACCAGGAAAGGGTTTGCTATGTTCACCAAACTTGCCCGATATGGTTTACTTTACCACAGACGGTCAAAAAGATAATGTAGAGTTTCGTGGTAGCGGTTTACATATTTATCCAGAACAGTGCATGCGTGTCTGGCGGGTCTGCTATGAAGGTGAACTAAAACAAGTCGATGCTAAGGAACTTTTGAAGGTGAAATTGAATTTGAAATTCTCATCAAGTTCAGCACATTTTGATTACAACAGAGACTTAAGCGCTTCAGTAATAGCGGATTCCGTTGCACGTGAAGCTTGGAACGATGCATTTTTCAATATGTTAAGAACGGTTGATCAACATTTAGAGAAACGTATGCATTACGAACAAAATGGCACTATTGAAGGTGAAATTTCATTAAACGAACAGAAACTTAATTTACAAATGAAAGGTTTTCGTGATCATTCCTTTGGCACTGAACGTTGTCTTTCCACTATTAATCGCTATGTGTACTTTGCGCTGTTCCTGGAAGATGGTACTAATATGGTTATTGGTAATCTCAGTCAGCCTTCATTCTTTCTTTCATCCTTAAAAGTGGGTTATGTTTGTGATAAAGAAGGAGTTTACAATCCTATCACTAGCTGTAACTTTGAGTTATACACTTATGGTGAGAAGGGCACACCACCTCAGCATCAAAACTTTATTGTACATACCGCAGAGCATAAATACTTTGTACAAATCAAAGAGGAGGAGACTGCAGTGCGTTATAATGGCGGAGACTGGGAATCAAAAGTTTTTAATCAATTTATTTCTTGTTCAGTTAACGGTATACAAGGACATGGACTTACTGAGTACCTTTACCGCAATACTAGTGGTCGTCCAAGATCTATTAGTTGCAATGATCCAGAATGGTATCAGAAAGCACGTCAATATGAACGTGGTCTGAGTACTGGCGAATACAACGATGACAACGAAGTTTTTATATTTTAAGTCTTTTTCATATAGAGAAATAATTTTATTAAAATATTGACTGAATAGTGTTTTTAGATATTTAGGTCTAAGTTTTTTATTAAATATAGAAATATCAAATAAATATATATTCTAAACAAACATAAAATATTGTGATTTAAATACAACCTGTTTAAAATGATTATATTTAATTACTAATTAAATGGTTTCAAAGTAAGTTGTATACCAAATTCTGTAGATTTATTTCTAATTTCTTATTAGAATATCAAAAATAATTGTATAAAAGTAAATACTTCTAATGTTAAAAAAATATCCTAGTTTGGCTTACAAATATACATATTAAATAGTGTGAAATTCATAGGCCAGGTGGAACTAGCATCTAACAAAAATAATTCTTCTTGTTATGTTGAAGTCAAATGCATAAGCTCCATGGGTTATACCATGGGTTATGTTTTGCACTGACAATATTAGAAAGATCTTCCTAAAATTAATTTGTTTGATTTTATTATTCACATTATTATAAATAACTTCTATAAAAAAATATTGAAGAATCTAATCTACATTAACCATAGCAATAAATTCTTTTTAAAAAATAATATGAAGTGTCTACATATGTTTGAAATTAAATTTAGAACTTATTTAAATCTACTTGAATTCAATAATTTCTAATCTCCCAACTGATAAATTTAGGAAAATGCTGATACCTCACATAAAGACTACCTATGCAAGATTGAAAATCTAACCACTTTCATTAGAGTAATTAATCATATAACCTGTGAACTACAAAATTCTTCTTCATCCCTCTTTCCCATACAGTTGGTATTATTTACAGGTTATAATGATTGCCTCATACGGCTTATAATAAGAATCACTACAGAGACACTTGCTAGAAAAGTGAAAACAGAGAAAAAATTAGAATGAATTTTAACTTTAGAATATATATGTGACTGGTGTTCTGAGAGTTGGTGGTCTGAGTTCTATCTTGAAGAATATGAAGATCACAATTTATGAAACCTTGTCGATTATTTTATCAATCTCTGATAGTATAATTTATTCGTTAGGTCTACAGTGTTTGTCTAAGAAACAAAAAAAAAAATTCATATTGAATACGCTATTTAATGTGGAGTCCAAAAAAGAAATAGGCTTTATTTTATGGAATATAGAAATAAATACAGAAATAAGTTATGAAAGAATTTTTAAAAATTCTAACTTAATAAAGTTTCCTAAAAATCGATTAATTAAACAATTTCCAATAAAATCATGTTTAAAGATCAATTATTTCTAACCACATGAAAATGGTTAAGCATTATTTTTATAACTCTTATTATTATTATTATTTTTTTTGTTATTAATATTATATTATTATTATTAATATTATTATTTTTTTGTTATTAACTCACACAGATTTGTCGCCTGTTATGATGCCAAAGGGCAATTTACCTCAGTCTGCTGAACTACATCTAAAATCTCATCCGGTTTTAATAATAGACGTTCATAATTTTTTCAAATTAACTGTGCTCAACTTAATTAAAGTATGTTTAATAAGCAAAAATCGGGTATATCATGTTATCTTTTTAAGAAAATTGTTTTTGAGATATTAAGAGTCTTGTGACTGAACTTGACTGAGTCAAGTTTTATTTCACAACGTAAACTTCAATCAAAATTAAAAATTGATTTTCAAATTCTCCATTTTTCATGACCTGAACATCACCGGCTTTGCAGATGTACCGTTCTGATTAAAAACATTCTCTCAAACCAGCAAAGCTGGTTGAAATGACATCTATGTTATGTATCCACAAGTCAAAATACTGATTTGAAACTAACATATCTTCTTGTTATTCGTGAAGATCCTATTTAGTGGTATCTGAGGCATAAACATCTGAATAAATTCTATTTCGATTTGTTAGAGAAAATAACAAGAATGATATTCCTGGTTTCGTTATCTCTCTTCCTATGCAATTCAATTTATAAATCAATGTTCTTATCAATGGCTATTTGTATTTAATAATGCAACCTGTAATCTGGTTGTAAATAATTTACAGTCAATTTTTTCAAACAAAATTAGCGGAATAAAAACAACACTAATTCAATTAAGGAAACCTGCAGTTCTCCTTCAGCTACATCTAGTTACACACACAACCCTGGAATAAATCTTAATTCCAGGAATTATACATATACGTTTTTCTAGAACAAACGACTCTATAACACATAAATAGGTACTATTTGAGACTAATATATCATCTTCCTTGGACAAGTACAAGTTTCATCATCTTAATGAACAAGTACATGAATACCGACTGCAAGATAAGAGACCATAAGAAATATTTAATAAACTATAGACTTTATTATACCGGCTGTTGAAAAAAAATTTTAAAAATAAAAGATAATACAAGAAGAAATTATTTAATCATGGATAATGCAATATTTTGTATTATTGCATTTTATGAACATTAGACGAAAGTTGTTAGTTCTTATCTGTTAAGTAATCTGAAATCGAAGATTAGATTGAGCAGGTGTTTGTCTCGACGTTTTATATTAGTTTAGAATTAAATAAATATTATAAGATTTTATTTTAGTAAATAATTGCATACATATAAATATTAAGATAATTTTTTAAAACAAATTGATTTTTAAAATTTGATAATATTGAAAAAATTATGAGACCCGGTGAACATAAGATATATGCGATTAATATTTTCCAAGTCTATAGGAATTTGATAGTCAAATGGCATTGTAGTACTAAATTTTTGTTCATTATTTTAAACGTTTTCTTTACAGCATTACCTTACACCTATTTAAAGATATCTAGTTAAATTTATTTTGGCCTTAAGAAAGTATCGAAAAGTTTTAAAATAAACAAGATTGCTATTACTATTATTTTAACAGATCATCATATAGAATTAAGTTGGAGTCGCATAAAATAATAGACATTTGAATTGAAAGCTTTACAATTAATAGATTCAAGTAAGAAATTTTCGAGTAATGTTCCTTCTTTGGATAAATATCTTAAAAGCTCAATGGACATCCAAGCTGCATTCGTCGAAGTAACCGTCAATGACATCGATTATAAACGTGAACTTGCAGCCATTCACACTAAATGCAGTATGCTCGTCAAGATCAGAAAGAACGACGACTTGCCCATGCAGCAAGAACTGTCCTGTCACTTATAAATATGTCAATTTCTAGTGTATTCTAGTCGCCCTACCTTTATGATGTCGCCGATCTGTTCTTCTGCCCAACCGCACACACAAACCAAATTGACCTTTGGATCCATCCCTTAGAAGTGGCTAGATTTCTCCGTCTTGAACCCAATTAACTTCAATTTAAATCTCATCCATTCCTAATTGGACCCTCACTCCATAATAATCGTCTCACCATTACCCATCCATATATTCGGGTTACAACAACAACATGTTATTTTAAGAAACAAACCTCTGTATTATTTCAATAAAAGGTTAGGTTACGTTATGCTGGCAGCCCAAGAAGGCCACGCGTAGCTCATTGAGTACCATTACGTTACCAGATCAGAGTCTTATTTCTAGCGATAGTATGCCTCACTCAGTATGATAGTATGCGCGTGTTATTAGCGAATTGTGTTAACAGTTCAACAGCAACCTTAGGCATGTGCTTCAGTTCTGCAATACTGACAGCCGCCAAGTATTTTTCTCGAATTCTCGAGAGAGCCGAACAATTACATAGCAGATTTCAATAAAAAGTTAAACACATTCTATTTATGCGCTATGATAATATATACACATAAAAGCACAATTATGATTTTAACAACTTAAATACTTTATAATATCATAAACCCATAAATTTATTGAAACAGACAATTTTATTATTGAATAAAAAAATAAAAAGATCATGAAATATTGTTCTGAGTAACGCAAATTATTATTGTTAAACAATTAGAAAATTGAGTCTACAATTGCACTATAATATTTTTAAAATAATACAATACATCATTTTATCATTCAGCATAAAAAAGGAATTTATTATAATAATAGAATTTAGTTGCGCTTTAAGAAAAAATCTTATTTGATAATTACAAGTTGAGATTATATATTTAGATTAATACTTAGGTTAGGTAACAAATTCATAGTAAAATTAAATATTTAGTTATTGCTTGTAAAAACCGCAAGCTAAAAAAAAAGAAGAGTTAAGATTACAACCAGCTATATATATATATATACATGATTACACAAAATATATAAATATATATATATAACAAAAATATAAATATAAATATATATTGTGATGAATGGAAAAACCATTTACGGTGATTTGTAATATCTTTTGTTTGTGTATTACTTAAAGATAAGATTGGCATAGATTTTAATACTCATAAATATACATATATAAATTTTTATAAGGTAAAAATACTTTTGTTAGTTTTTATAGCAACGAAACTTTATGGAAAGTTGTGATTAGGGCTTCGTACACTATTTAACTTTAAAGTGTGGAAAGTACAATATATGAAATGAAAATGATTAAATGAGGATATATATCACTGAGAATAACGCAAACCCATTTGTGACTTTCACATGAGTGCGTATATTTTTTAATTAAATTAATAAATTCATATTCCAAAACTTGTATTGAGTGTATCCAATCAAAATGTATTAACTACCAAATAAAATTTATTGACTTAAAAAATGAAAAAGATTGTATGGAAGATAGTGAATGGTTCATTCTCAATCTGAACCCAGATGCAGATATTTATAATGAACATGGCGCGAAAAGTGTGGGTAAATATAATAAAGTCAATATAAATTTTATTCTAACTTACATTTAATATTCTTGCAATAATAAAATAAGTATAAATAATTATTCATAGTCTAAATAAAATATTTTCGTTTTTCGTTAGTGATAGTATATTTTTTAATCTATAAATCTGCCTTAAATTTTGGAATTTTATTTTATAATAAAATATTTTTAAGTTATTTTAAATAGTTTATATTATAAAATATAAAATATTTTTATTTATATATTATATTAGTTAAAGCGCGACTTTAGAATTTCGTAATAAATTATTTTTAAGATATCTACATTAAGACCGAAAAGTTTTCGGAAATTCTCATTTAAAATTCGCGCGCTGTATATTTTTCGATATTTTAAGTTTATGTAGTTTGGCAGCAATTACCTTAATTACTATGCCAAAAATGAGCGCGATCTGTCAGACAGTTCGTTTACGGCAGCTGTTGAAACCAGTTCACCTCAGTAGTGCGTTGCGAAAAAAACAATGGAAAAAAATATTGAACAAAGAGTTTGCATCAAATTTTGTGTTTCGAACGAAATTTCGTGTGCAGAATCGTTGCGAATGCTACAAAAGGCTTATGGGGAATCAGTTTTATCGAAAACTCAAGTTTATGAGTGGTACAAAGCCTTTCAGGACGGTCGTACGACCGTCGAAGACATTTCGCAACGCACTACTGAGGTGAACTGGTTTCAACAGCTGCCGTAAACGAACTGTCTGACAGATCGCGCTCATTTTTGGCATAGTAATTAAGGACAGGGCTGCCAAACTACATAAACTTAAAATATCGAAAAATATACAGCGCGCGAATTTTAAATGAGAATTTCCGAAAACTTTTCAGTCTTAATGTATATCAAAAGTTGGTCATAAAAAAATAAAAAAAATTATTTATTTATTTTTTTTTTTTTGAGATTTTGTTAGTCAGTGAAAGTATATTTAATAATCTGTAAATCTATTTAAATATGAATTCCACAATAAAACATTTGAAAGATTTTTTTATTTTTATAATTAAAATTTTTTTGCTAAAATTCTATCTAAAGTCATGTAACTCGACTATCACTTAAAGTGGATCTCTTTTTCTGCAATATTTTTTTAACAACGGATATTGATTTATACAAACATTTTTTTGGAATATTTGTAAGCATAAAGCCAACTTTTCTCATGCTTTTTTTTTAATAAAGGAAAGGAGTTTACTAGGTAAATGACATCATTTCATAATTCAGATAAAGTATAATATTTTTGTTGGCATAATTGTAATTATTTAGGTGCCGCAAATTGACGATGGAACGAATTGACGATGAAGTTCAGGTTATTATATTTTTCACCCCACCAAATGCCAATATAGGTTAGTTATCTAGATATCGAGCATTTATAACTCTAATAAATTTCTTATAATAATTAAACGAACAACAAATTATTGTTGTTAATTGCTTTTTGAGTAATTAATGTAAACATTTTGTAAATAAATTGCCGTTAAATGTCATGAATACTTTTTGTTTGCATAATCAATGTTTGCAAATTTCCAACTTGAAATTCTGATATCTTAAGTTATCTGATTCTAATATCCATATTTGCAGATAACATACTGGAAAAAAGATTTAAGAGTATTAAAATATACTGGAAAACCATTATCAAATTGCGACGGTTTGTAAAGGATTTTGAAGATTTTTTCATTTTATGAATTAAGTAATCTCTTATCCTATTTTATACACTTTGATAGATAACACTCTTTACATTTTTAATGGGAAATAATGGAAAAACAAAATAATTACTTAAAATAATATTCATACTAAATGCTTATCACTTTACAAAATATCTTAAAATATTACGAGAATAGTTTTCTTAAATTATATGAGAATTTTGAATATATTTTTACATATTATCTTAAATTTAACTTTATAACTTTAATATAAGTACAAAATATTAGTTGAAAATGTTTAATATACATTTAATAATAATTGATTTTAAATACAGTTGCTCTAAAATGTCCAGTGAGAAGCATTTTCGAAAAATATTTATATCTTAATTTCAAAAAGCTAATACATTGTTTTTAATATCTTATGTTAATGATATAATTACTTCATTTTCGGCATCCATTAATGAGTCCAAAAAAAAATCTGCCATTTGTTCGCTATTTTCCGTATAGACTTGCAAGTCATTATCAGATAAACTTACTAAATCTGTAGAACCATTGCTTAAAAGATCTGCTTGAATTGATTCAATAGCATTATAATGCATTGGTGGATTATCGATAACATCGACGGATAGTTCTTTGCTGTGCACATTTCGTAGGTGAGCTAATATCAAAATAATATGAAAAGAAATAATTTTAATATATTTATAATAATTAATATTAATTTGAATTAACTGCAATACTATTACAACAAAAATTGTTAAATGTATAAACACAAAAAAAATTATAATAACATACATTAATATAATCATTTAAATATCATTTAACGTTTAATAATAGTTTTGCAGCACACACACATACACACATACACTATGAATTATAAAATAATAATGAAACAATTAATCTAATACAATATAAAATGTATAATTTACTTGCTAAACGATTTCTTGTGAATAATTCGCCACAATATTCACAAGACTGCTGATGATGTACATGAAAGATATGATCTGTAAGGGCTTTTTTATTTTTCCCCATATACTTACAGCCAGTTTCAGTGCAGGGGATTGTACAATCTGAAAAACAATATACGTTTTATATTTACATTATGCTCATAAAAAAAACATTTTATAATGCATTGTTTGTTAATTTGAAATTTAAAATAAATAAAAAAATCAAAACAATTATTATTAGGCGTTTACACTGGCCAGACTTTGGCGAGCATATACCCAAAGTCTGCTTAAGCTTAAAAAATTATCTGTTGTAGTACCACGGTATTAGCGTTTAAGCATGCGTCGAATAGAATTCAGCTTACTAACGGCACGGAAAGGCATAACTCTCTCATTAGAAAAAGATTAACAAAACTTAAAATTCTATAAACTTGATTAAGTCCCTAATCTTGCTGGATGATTGTTCTATTAGGTCGGTCAGAAAAGGAACCGTGAAAATTTTAGATCTTCTCCTAGCTAAAAATAGACACTAACACATTAGGTAGACCACAGTTTGCTACTCATCCACAGAGCCACAATCTCGATAAAAGTCATTATAAGGTGACCCAGTTTTATATTATGTGTTCCTATAATGCTGTGACCACTTGACACCGATACCGATACCGTCTTAGTTGAAGCAGTTGACTGGTGTGTTTTTCGTTTAGTTTAGACAAGGTCAATCTGAAGATCTGAAAATAGAGTTCATCTTCCTAATTTTACTTGGCAATGCTCAGTTGAGTGGTGTGTTTTTTGTCTAGTTTAGACCAGGTCTGTCTGATGATCTAATTAAAGGGTTATCTGCGTAATCTTGCTTGGTAATGTTCAAATATTTTTGTTTAATTGCCAGTTTAACGCTTGCAAGTGGGACACCAATAACTGAGAAGTGTTTGTCAGGAAGTAGAGTGCTCGTCTTGGTTGTTCATATAGTTTAAATGTATATAAACTTCGATACATCGGCGATATTTATATAGATATAACTATATAACATAAAAATAAAAAATCAACTTAAAAGTTTTTTATTCAAAAATTTGCAAAAGCCTTTTAAAAAGAGAAATAAAACTAAAAAAAATGAACTCGTAACTAGTCTAAGTTAGCTTGATATATAGCTTGATTGACTGAATTAATATGTTTTTATTCAACCAAAGACCATATATATATCTAAAGTTTCATCCGAGATATTATAGGAATTATATCGTAACATAGATAGATAGATCGTAAATAAAATAGATTAGCTCGTTATATATTATAAGTGATAACTTTTTTTCCTAAGTCAACTAGACAAAGCACTACTTTTTCGTATAACACAATAATATTAGAAATAGAAATCTCCGACACCATATCTAAACACATTATTAGACAAAAAAAAAACAACTGTATATCTAGAGAATGACTGGTGGAAAAATATACCATAACCGAACAAAGGGTCTCCATTTCTAATTAGAAAGATATAATTTGATATAAACATACTTGTAATAATCAAGAAAAGTTGTTATATTACGGACCGTAACAACCAAAGAGTTAACTTCTTAAGAGATTCTTTTGAGATACTGATAGATTGGACATAGTCGTCATTTATAAAATAGATAAATTTATTAGTGCTTATGAGTTCTAATGAATAAATATGTCTATTTTAACTGAGAAAGGTAGTAGCTAGCTCATTTCAGAAGATAATAACAAGAAAGGGTGCGCGATAGCAGATAATAAATTAGATAATAAATTATAGATAAGATAAAAATAGATAAGATAATAAATTATTGATACACAAATATAATATTAAAAACATTGAATAAGAAATAAATTTTCATAATACCTAATTAAAAATGTTCAAAAAAATCAAGTTTGAACCGATCTAATTTTCAAACCTATTTATACTTGTATTGTATACTAATATATACTATACTGTATCTATATAATATATACTTTACTTATATTAGATATTAAAAAAAAAATATTTAAATGGGAAATGGAAAATCGGAAACTGAAATTGGTTTACTCTCTTTCGATATATGGTTTTTGAACTAGATATTTTTCTGAGTAGCCAATCAACACCTCGGTAAATATGAAAAATGATCTCATTTTCTATACCCGCATTTATCATTTCCCGCATTTATGCTAAATAAGTTCGAAATACCCTGTATATAATGTAAGGTCTGTGTATATTATATAAACACTGTCTGTTTAAAAAGTTTCAAACATATTTCTTAGAAGAGCAAAGCACAGCTCGCATTTCATAACCGCATATTCACAAATACATTAGTACGTGGAAGAAATGTTTTGTATGTTTATTAGTTCAATAATTACTTTCAGTTAAAGCTGGGATAATCACGAAAAGTCAATTATGAATTTTAAACAGATTAGATGAGTTAAAATGGAAATATGCGTCACTCAATCAAAGCGAGACAATAATAAGAATTAAAATCACCGCATTAACTGAAGCGTCAATTTTTTTAGTTGATTTTTTTCTATTATTACTGCTATTATAATTGTTATTATTGTGTAGATAATTTATTTCTACTATTATAAAATATGTTTTAATGTTACGAAAACAAGTGAGAAGGCAAAGCTGTTTCTAATTATTTTTTATCTTAATGAAACCATATGCAAAAATATGTTATGTTTTACTAAGAAAAACAATTGCATGATTTGTGATTATTTATAAATAACTGTCGAGTTCAAAAAACAAATGAAAGCAATACACATATCTGGAAATATTATAATAATAGTAATGCTATTCTTTGTACTTACCATTATGAAAGAGAACATGCTGATTAAGATTCTTTTTTGAAGTGAAAAATTTTCCACAAAGTTCGCATTCGTGTGGTTTTTCAAGTAAATGTGTTGCTTTCACATGCTGCTTCAATTCGCTTGCAGTCCTGCAACGTATGTTACATTGTAGACACTGGTGTGGACGTAACTGTGGATCATGTATGCTTAAATGTCTTTCCAGTTCAGATTTTACATGAAAACGCTTCGAACAATATGTACACAATAGAATTCCAGCACGATCCTCACGTCTTTTCTCTTTACGTTTCATTGGAGAATCTATACATTTGCCATTCTCATCACGTTGACGTTGCATATGATTACGTAGCTTATGAACTGATGTGTAACTGATACCACAATTTGTGCAAGTAAGAGCATTTGTATTGCTTGAGTTCAGTTTATCTGTATGGAAGTGCTGCATGTGACGATTGAGAAATGCAAGGCTAACAAAACCTAAAATGTATAAATTTATATATATTAAACTGTTAAATTATAAACAATTTTATACATTAATATAAATATAAATGTGGAGTACCTTTTTTGCAATATTCACAAGCAACTGGCATCTCTCCATGGTGTATGGAATATTTATGTTTTTTAAGTTTGTATTCACTAGTAAATGCTACAAACATATAAAAATCGAACCAATACACATTTTAGTTAATAATTGTTAGTAAAAATCTTTATTTGAATTATGCACTTACCCGAGTTGCATTCATCACAATGTTTAAGTTTGGTTTCATTCGACAGATGTAATTGTTCATGTGCTTCCATATTGGCACGACGTACAAAAGTCCGTGCACAAATACTGCAACGATATTTGTCTGATCTTTCGTGCATACGCTGATGTGCACGAAAGCGATGCAATGGTATTTGCTTGAATTTTGATCCACATACTGTACACTCCCAATCGCCTATATATGTACACATACTTTCATGTCCCTCCTTCGAGCTGCGTATACCGCGTTTACAGTATTCGCAGCTCCTTGCACCGACACGTGAAACATGCATACGTATCACATGACTATCACGTATTTTAGATGTTTTGAAAGATATTGTACAGTGCGGGCAGGTATATGGTAAATTTGGATCATGTGCATCAAAATAATGTTGAGACAATGCTTCTGAATCTTGAAATATTAAATGATCAACAGCACCTTTTTTTTGACAGTAGCAATACTGACAAGCGAAGGGATTATCACGAAGACGAGAATTTAATGAATTTTCATCTGAGTCATACATTTCAGTTTCAGATGCATCACACTCTACAAAAAAATACATATTTTGCATTTATATTTGTTATTATTATTATTGTTAACAAATATAAAAATTAAATTAACTTACCCTTATTTAAATCACAATTTATACTTGTTTCATTCTTTTTATTTAATTTGGTTGGTATTATACTGCCTTGTAGCATTTCTTCTAGATCTTCCAAATAATCATTTATCTCATTAAATGAGTTTTCCGTAGTGCTGGATTTTGTCGAACATTCCGACATAAATTGCGTTTTCTCCTCATTTATTGTCTCTTCATTATTTACGTCTGTTGCATTTAGCAGCGAAGCAACATCTATGGAATTATTATTTTCATAATTGGACTGCTCCATTGTATTACTAACAAATTCTGTACTTGGTTCAAGCAATATTTTTCCATCTAAACATGGAAAATCACTTCCGAAGACATCCATATTATTTAAAACTTGCGTTACGACTTTATCATCAACCATTTGCATGCCATTGATACCATCAGCTTCTTCGTTTGTTGTTCCAATGGTATCATAATTTATGTCGCTAGTTGTTGGAACACTATTCTGTAACAATTGTAGGCATTCAGTTGGATCGCCATTTGGAAGCATTGCACTCAAAAACTTTTTCTGTACCGCTTCACAGTCATTATAAAACGAATATATGCTAAGAAATTTCGTGAAGCAACTGTAACAAATGCACTGCGGAAGTCCATCGTTTGGTGTTATCTGTAATCAATTTTTTATTGTTTTTATTTTGTTTAAGTATTTCATCAATGCAACATAAAAAAACTACATATTTGTGAAAACATACATTTAGATTCCAATTTTTCAATTCTTTTCGTATAAATTCCAATTCTGCTTCAATGCCAACCATTGGCTCAAAAAGGTTTATATGTAATTGAGATTCAGACGCTACAAAAAATTCACCACAAATTCTACACGATAGTAATGTTGCATTTGTATCCATTTTATTTTTCACTTAAATGCATATGTTTGGATGAGAATTTCGCAACTTTTCACGAAAAACACTACCAACTATAGTCTTTGATTAGAAATGCAGTCATTATCAATCACAAAACATCTGTTTTCTGTTGATTTGAGAACAAAGTATGTTCAGTCTTTGACGGACGCTAAACAAATGCAATGCAATTCGCAATATTTGTTTTTTTTCAATGGCTATCTAACTGTTTACTGATGTGGATCATATGTTAATTGCGTTTCACTGCGCGCATATTGGCAACAACAATAAAAATTACAATAAACGACGTAATTATTATAATAAACAAAGCAGTTCGAGGTATACATTATAAAGATACGTAAATACATTTTATATCAAATTTTAGATAATGCCATTTGTGTTTGTAACATTTACCCAATAAAAAAATTAAAAGCATTGAACTTTTTCAGTAGTCATCAAACTGTTTTCTGAATGGATAGTAGTGGAATTTAGTGTATATAAAAATGTATCTAATAAGATAAAATTGAAATATTATTTCTGTTAAAAATATATTATTTATTAAATTGAATTAAAAAACTGATTTGCTTAATAGAAAAAAATAAACAAACTGTTAGTATAAATTGCATGTTATACCATTGTACACGTTGTGTGTGTGACCCGTTAAAACCCGCTTGTGAAGTCTTTTTGAAAGATATCGAACGGTACTTGGTTTTCAGACGTTAATCCGGCCGTTCTTCGAACCACCATTGTACTTAAAAAAAAATCAAAAAATAAATAAAAATGTTTCGAAAAAAATATAAAAATGTATTCAATAAAAAGAATCTGATGCATTACCTTTTTAAAATATATATTTTAACTAATATATAAAATAATGTATAAAATAATTAGCATTTTTAATTAATTAATATAATTAATATACTAATACATAATCTAAAAATAGTTATACTTAATAGAAAAAAATAAAGGGAATTAACTATTTAAATAGGATAGGCGAGTTAGGCTATGTTGATGCTAAACCAAATGGGAAATTTTGTGGGATTTTTTGCACTGCACATTTATCATAGCCATTTGATAGCCATTTATCAACACGTATCGACACATCACTACATTATCGGCACAACTTAGAATTTCCCTCATTTAGAACGCAATTTTAGCCTAACTCACACAAGTCCTAAGATTTGACAAATCTTATTATTATATTAAGGTCGTGTGCGAGTTAGGCTAAGTTGATGCTAAAGCAAATGGGAGATTTTTTGGGTTCTTTTGCATTGCACACATTTAGCCATTTATTAACACGTATCGATACATCACTACATTATCGGCACAACTTAGAATTTCCCTCATTTAGAACAACTTAGCCTAACTCGCACACGTCCTAAAATAGTATACATATGCCTCGCTAACCGGCAACCGGTCAAAATGGAAAACTTGTTTACCAGTCAGCTATATTTCCGACAATGTTTCGTTTAGCGGCCGAAAATGCTTTCTTAATTATCAAAATATAAAAGAACAAAAATTTTTAAAAATATTTTAAAATAGTATACATGAGTTACTCATAAATAAAGAAAAGTTATTAGGGACAGTAAACATTAAATAGATACGATAATAAATACGATAGTCGAATAAACGATGGACGGCGTAGGCTATCTGGCACTTTATTTACCTGTTCAAAATAACAATGGACTCTAGACCAATATAACAACCAATATTAATTCAATTTTAATTATAAGTTCTTCTAAAAAAAAACATTCTTTAATAATGGATCTTATACATATACCTATAAGATTAAATTAACTAGTAGGAAATTACAATTAACTTAGGAAATTTTAAAGTGTGAACTGCTGCAGTTTGATGATGTAGAAGACTGTCCAGAAAAGTAGAGCCAGCTATATAAAAGTATGGTTTTAACTAATACCTTAATTTCTGAAAAAATGCTTTGATAAAATTGAACTGACATCAGTGACCTAAAAATTATAGATCCCTACGCCTAGACCTTGTTAATTTATGAAGGTGAAGAGGTTCTAAGAGAACTTTATAAAAAGGTTCATAAAGTTTTAATATATATATATATATATATTCATCTATCATTACCTAATGTCCTAATTTTAATTTTTTTATAATTTTTTTTTTTTTGAAATAGTGGTTTTCTTATTTTTCTAAAACCGACTTAATTATTTTCAATAAATTTGTATAGAATTATTTAAATTACATTTACAGCATAGGTATTATGGACAGTTTATAGGGTAAAACCAGTTCTAAATTATTATTTTTATTATTAAGGACGTGTGCGAGTTAGGCTAAGTTGATGCTAAACCAAATGGGAGATTTTTTAGGATTTTTTGCACTGCACACATTTAGCCATTTATCAACACGTATCGACACATCACTACATTATCGGCACAACTTAGAATTTCCCTCATTTAGAACCCAACTTAGCCTAACTCGCACACGACCTTAGTAGGGAGATTTAGTACTGCGATCAAAAGATTTATTGTACAATCCTATGCTTACCTAAGTATTTCTTTTTTTTATAGATTGATGCAAAGGAAATCCTTATTTCCTTTTTTGAGGCCTCTTTCTCTTGTATACAAAACCCGTTCTTACTTACTTACTTACTTCTTACTTTTAAAAGGTAATAATTCAATCTTCAGTGCCTTGTTATATTAGAATGATTCTGAAGCTGTTTTTATTTAATTACATACAATCTTTTGAGGTTGAAAGTCCCTGTAAACGATTTTTATTGTAATAGTCCTAGTACATTGTACCACTATAGTCTTCTCTGTTTTTCTGCTTTTTTCTTACACCACAGAATGGTTCCGATTCTACAAGCACCGAGATTGTTCTTTCTCTTTACTCCAGAAATACCTGAAAATCCTGCTAGATATATATTAAGCAATAAGACCTCCAATTGGTAATATGTTTATATGTTTAATATGTTTATCTGGTATGAAGACCATAGTTCTGTGAAATGCACTGGAACAGTTGCCAATCTTATCAAAACCTTTCACTACGCTTTTTAACCGATTGACAATGCATACCGACATTTCACCCACACCTTTATTCCATGCCACACAACCACTCTTTTCTCATTTTACTACACATCCTATCCCAACCTATATATCCATCTTTCAATCTACTCATATTTCCTGCTTTTTGCAGTTCCACAATTTATCGAATTGTTTAAAATGTTTAAAGTAGAATATTCACCGTTGGGATTGGTGAGCGACACTTGTTCGTCGATATTGACGAGTGACTCCGGAACGTAGACTCGGCCGCACCTGGAGTGCTTATTTTGAGTATAGTGGCAACCCTAACACTAATGCATTACCTTACAAATAAAACAATTTCGAATTAATTTGTCAATAATTAATAATTTATTTGTTTTTTTTTATATATCTTGACTTTGTTTTCATTATTTCTGTACTTAACTAATGACTAAGAAAGGACATTTATTGTAATAACAATCATTTAGCATTTAAATATATCAATCTGAGTATAGTATATATATGCAAGTGTATGTATAAGTTGTTTTTGCAGTAATAGTATAATTTAAATTTATATATTTGTAAATTTCAATAATTAATATTATAAATATTTAATAATGGTGTACACAGCAGGATAACAAAATAGATAAGACCAACAACATAAATGGAGCAAATTTTTAAATTTCATATTTAACATTTCATAATAATAAGCGTTGCATGTTAGGAGTATAGGAATTATTTATATATCAAATATTTTATTCCTGGATTTTTTAAAATTTTTTTTTGTGTGTTATAAGCAAAAACAAAATATCATTTTCATTTCATTAAACTTTCTTTTTCTTTATAATATAGCTTAAAAATAGTTCACATCCACAAAAATTTTAATTTATAATAAATATTTAAGTATCAATAAAAATTACAAAATATACAGCTTAATCGTTAGGACAAAAAATCATCAATGAAGAAAAATTTGTATGCGTTTTAGTTTTGAAACTCTTTTGTTACTTCTGATAGAATTTGTTGTTTCATATATACTTTGGTCCAATAAAAAAAGGTTATAGCATTATATAAATAATTTATAAAACAAAATATTTGCGAAATGCCTTAGATCCTATGCAATAATAATAATATTTCACAGATTTGTCACGTCTACTCATGCCTTACGCCACAAATTGACAAAAATGTGCTGAAGTTATGCAAGCTGCAGGCGGGCAAAACGGTGTACACGATGTTGGCAGTATCTATGAACTTTTTTCGGAAATCTTTAAGACCGTTAAGCAATATTTCCACGGACGGTGCAGCAGTTACTTGATAGAACACTTTTAGGTGTATCGCTGGTATAGAAACTGTCGCAGAATTTGTGTTGTTGTAATGGTGATTATGGTTGTTAGTGGAGTTATGCGATGTATTAACATTGGCATGATTGTTAACATTGGCATCAGCACTGAAATCATCGCAATTGGTACTAGTTCCATCACTAACAATACGTTTTGCAGTTGGATAATCTTTAAGCAAACGTTTAACCACGTATGAGAGTATTTCATCAATGTTTTCCGTAGTAAGACATTGTGCCAAATGACAATGATTGCTGAGTATATCATCGCTTAGTTGAGTCAATTGAGTAGTTGATGAAGCTAAACCTATTGAATATGAGTATATATTTTTTAAGTTTCCATTTTAAAAAAAGAAAAACTTTTGTACCTGTTGAGACATAGCATACTATAGCTGCACAATTATTCTCATAATTCCAGCGTCGTCGTATAGAAATTGTGTAATCATTAACTGAGCAACCAGTTTCCTCATCTTTTTGTTATAACCAAACAAAATTTTTATGTTATATATTTGAGTAAATACAATAAAAAAAATGTATTAACTTACAGTCAAACCTATCGTTATGGGTGTGTGCCCAAACTTGCCATTCTACAAGCGCTTCTCGTGGCAGTGCGGGTACCACGATATAATCCATTATGGCATTAGTGGTGCGTCGTTCCCATTGTCGTCTAGCCTCCGCAATAAAAGCTGGATGTGTTACAAAACAAATACCATGTACTACATCACGTAACTGTCCTTGTGCATTCATTGCTTTTGCAATTCTACTTATGTGCCGCAAAGCAAGCTTACATTGCGGTCTTATGCCACCATCTATGATTGTCATACTACCAGGTACAAGTGCTATTTGGCCAGAGATATAAGTGATCTCACCCACCTTTGTTGAGTTCATAATTAAAACATATTTAATTTTAATCATTTTGCTATATTTACCTTTGTTGATTGACTGTAAGGCCCTATATTTGCTGGTGCCCAATGTGAAATACCTTGAACATGCATTGTGTGCCTTTTGCATAAATTATCTGTTGAGCTTGTATTAGAAGAAATGTTGCAATCCTCTATGTTTGCTAATAAAAAATTTATTTTAAATATATTACTGAAATTTTGAGAGATAGTTAAAAATTTCTCATTACCATCAATTTCATTAATAGAAACTGTTGCTCGTCTACGTATTGGTGTCTTATAAGCTATAGCTTCCATAACCACATGACAATCTTCTGGTAGTGGACATTCCACACATACACGAGTGGGAGGATTTTGAAAATGCATAGCTTCATCATATATACTATTCAATACTGAATATTCAGCCATGGAGCGTACATACAACGTTATGAAACAATAGTCAGCCAACTCATAATTGTGCTCAGCGGCTAAAAATTTCAGGTCACTCATTGCAATATGCATACCCTCTTCTAAAGTTGAAGCGCAACCTATAAATTAAATATAAATTAATTAAATATAATTAAATATAATTAAATATAATTATATTAATTTAGAAACATTAATATATTACATATTATAATAATAAATAATAACAAAACATAACAAAATATAATATAATATAATATAATATAATATAATATAATATAATATAATATAATATAATATAATATAATATAATATAATATAATATAATATAATATAATATAATATAATATAATATAAAATAATATAATATAATATAATACAATATAAGTCCCGCTCGCATTTTCAAAATTAATTAACATTAAATAATAATTTAAATAATTAATTATTTAATAATAAATAATAATTTGAATAATTAATTAATTAATAATAAATAACAATTTAAGTAATTAATTAATTAATAATAAATAATAATTTAAATAATTAATAAAAATTAATAATAAATAATAATTTCAATAAGTAATTAATTAATAATAAATATAATAATAATTTAAATAATTAATTAATAATAAAAAAAATTATTTACTTTTAACATCAAATACTATTTTTTTTTAACTTACCCTGCACACCAGCTACCCACATCCAGCCCATTTGATTAACTGCAGCCATAGGTTTATTTGTTAGTGGACGGAACTCACGTTCTATTTTCATAGGACTCGGTGGTTGTGTTATAACTGCTGTCGATATACCACCAGTTGCACCAACAGATGATATTGCTAACGAAAGCGAACCACAAACTGCAGCTGTGCTACCAAGCGGTCGTCCGAAACTGCCTGTATGCAAAGATGCTGTACATAAAGCAGCTGATGAAGAGAGCAAAGATGATGGAATTGGCTCATCTACACTAGCACTTTTTGTTACAATTGGTATTGGGGAAGATGATGATGTGGCAAGATGCCGACCAAACGAATTACTACGTGATATTAATTCATTTTGACTAAGTGATTCACGCATTCTTGTCTCTTTCTCTATGAGTTCTAATTCAGTTTCACTGAGATCTGGATCACTGAGGTCACTATATGTCGATTCATTGAGGTCACTTATATAGTCCAAAGACTTTTTAACAAAAACATCACAGCATTGCGTTGGCTCTTTAGGTTGTAATGACAACTTCGTAAAATTTATATAACCTACCGGACATACAGGATCCGCAGAGCTTATAATAGTTTGTACATCTTCACTGTAAAAACATTAACATAGGACATTAGTACAAAATATTGTTAATAGTATATAATATATATTTACATCATAATGCGTTGCTTAAAGAGTGGACAATCTAATGTAAACGTTTCATATTCTCCACCCTCACCACATACATTTAAACCATATTTATCATGCATCTTTAATAGATGAGGTTGCATTTCGCGCAGGGATTTACCCAAATGACGATCAGGAACTAAACCCAAAGCAGCTACCTGTTTATGTAAAATTTATATAATTTGTTTATATATTGTTTATACGAATATAACAAATTTTTTTTATTTTGTGTAATTTACTTTAATTATAATAGCATGCACTTGACAATCGATCATCTCTTGTAGCAATTCAGTCTGGTCTCTCCTCCACAAATAAGCCAATGACACCAAATTTAAACGACTACAAACATTTTCAACGCGCACACGCTGGTAATCGGAGAGTATAGCACCTACGGCAACTGCTTCAACATGTAGTTCTTCCTAAAAAAAAATATGTGAGAAAAATAAAATAAATTAATTAATTAAATATAAAAGCAATCTGTTTCTACGGTATAGTATAATTAAGTTATTAATTAATTGTGAAATGTGACAACACGTGAGCAAGAAATCTTTTGAGAGAAAGATGCTAAACATATGACATTACACATAAGAAATGGCGAAGATGAAGTGAATACTTATTGAGCTTCAATGGGTCTAGAGCAGAGGTGGTGAACCTTTTTATAAGTATTTGTAATATATGTACCATATGTAAATACTGTTGTTGTTGAACATTTGGTGTTCCCAGATTTTGAGATCAATAAAAATGATTTTAAAAATAAAAAAAAGAAACAATAAAATTAGTACTTGCAATTTTGACCATCCGTGCCATATCAAAATCAAATATTTGGAACGAACTCTTCAAATGCTTGAGAATGATCGAGCTACTCGCCCGGCAAATCTACTTTGAATTTTATAAGGATTATGACAACTATATTAAACATCAACATCGTCACAAAAATAAAAACATTATTAATCTCATCCCTTGTTGTAATTTTTTTTTAATAGTTTCTTAATATACCAACGTGGCCTAATCGGTAAGGTTGATCAGTTCCCAGTATACCAACGTGACCTACTCGGTAACATTGATTAGTTCCTAGTATACTAAAATGTGGCCTAATCTATAACATTAATTAGTTTCCAGTATACTAACATTGATTAGTTCCCAGTATACCAACGTGACCTAATCGGTAACGCTGATTAGTTCTGCACCCTATCAACGTGGCCAAATCGGTAACTAAGAACCTTCTTCTAATTTCAGGAAATTTAATATTTGTAATTTCTGTATAATTTAATTTGTAATAACTAAATCTGCTGTAAATGTATATAGTACACAATAAAATAAAAAAATAAATAAAGAAACTAAACCAAAAAGAATCAGTCTTTCCATTTATATTACGAGAAGATTCAGGGTTACAAAAAAATATATTCTTGTAACACCTCTGGGCACCATAAGCTATCAACTGTCGTGAAAACGTTCATTACAACATATTAAAAGAACATTTATGATATATATTATATAAACATTTAGTCATAAGAAGCACGTTAGCAAAGTAGTTACTGAATTTGCTAACAGTTGATTTAAAGCGGGACAAAATCTAGACAATTAAAAATGCAATTATAATGATTTCATTTTGCAATACGGGTATATATTTTATCTAATATAGTTCGGATATAATTTGATAATAAGTTAAGTGATAAGTTAATAGATGAGAAACATTAAAGATACCAAGACTTTCCAAAGATGGATTTCAAAAGCAGCAAAACCTACATCCCTTAGCAACTGGTCTACTCAGATGGCCAACTAATCAACAGGAACTCGAAACAATAATAACACAAGGCCTAGCAGTTGGTTGAAAAGGTATTAGAATTTGTGTTTTATATAGGTAGGACAAATTTTAATCGACCCATTACCGAGTTTCGGCATGAGGCACAATATCGCCTCAGGCGTCTCTGTTGCGTGTGTCCCTTCTCCAGTCTCTTACATCAAGTCAGGTTAGTGCACCCTCAAATTGATCATTCCGCCAGAGACACGCTCTACCTCTACCCCTTCTTTCTCCAACTACTACTACAAAAAACTTTTTCGCTGGAGCATCTTCAACCATTCTCACGACATAACCAAGCTAGCGAAGCAGCTGGATGTTAATTCGCTAAAGTCGATGTCAATATCAATGTCGTGATAAACTTTGTACAGCTTGTGATTCTTTCGTATACGGTAGTTGTCGCCAAGTCATTGAGGACCAAAGTTTTAACGAAGAACTTTTCTCTCGAACACTCCCAATGCTGCTTCATCATTCTGTGATAACATTCATGGTTCTGAGCCATACGGAAACACATGGAAGATGAGCATGGAAGATAAAGCGTTGGCTAAATAATTAAATAAGTAATAATTTTATCGATTACCTCGACAATGGAAAAAACATCAATAGTGAATGTGAACATAAGCTCTATTTGAGCACGTGAAAACGAGTCAAAATGAAGAAGTAGAAAGTATTCTCACAATTAAATCTGTCATTACTTTTTTATTAACATTCCAAGACAAAGTTCATAAACTATTAATTATCACAATTAATAATTAATTTAAAAAGAACAAATTTTTTTTCAATAATATTATAATTTTTGAAATAAATTAATGAAAATTTATTTTTGTGCACAGATCATTAATAACATTGAATCAATCCACTTGAGTGGTGCACAAACAAATAATAATATTATTCTGTGTATTTTTTCCTTTCAGTTTTCTGTGATCTAATTTATTCTGTGATAACAAATAAATTTATTTAATCTTATTTTGTACGAGTAACTGAAGAAAAAACCTAAATGCTTGTCTGCTTTTATTTGGCGACGACATTCGGGAAAGGCAGATACAAGATACAACAAAAAAACTTATGAGAAATAGAGTACAAACAAATAAATTAAAATAATAAAAAATTATAAATAAAAAATGAAAAAAATTGTTGAAATAAAAAATAAAAAACTAAAAATTTATATATTAAGCACCTTTAATATTTGGAACGAATTCTAAAAATATAAAAATATCAAACGCGGTGTTTGAAAGATACAATTTACTGGCGCAGCTCTCGAGCAATAATGGTTTTGTTTGGTTTTGTGATTTACTTTGTCATATTTGCCTTAAAAATTTAAGAGCGTTTAGTGGCAAAATAAAATAAACACAAAGCACACATAAAAAAATGTAAATAAAAAATTAATATATGATATAACACTGAGTAATTATTTAAATTTTTTTCATTTAAATAACAGAAATATATTATGCAGTAAATTATTTTTAACTACTACTGCGTTTAAATTGCAAGTTAATTAAATATTTTTATTTTGTTAACTGATTTCTTATTTAAAAATTAATTTAATAAATAATTAAATTAATAGGATACATAAAAATATAATAAAAGAAAAACTAATTGTTTATAAAATGAATAAGTTAGATAACTTTTGAAAGGACAGGGCTGTGATAAATATGACAGTTCAACTTTACTGGACTTTACTGGATTTGCAGATACTGGATATCGGAATATAGATTCCGGGACATGGTGGTATCCAAGGCAATGAAATGGCAGACAAACTTGCAAGAATAGGCGTGGCTGCAATAATGATAGGCCCATAACCTTTTTGCGGTCTAGGCAAACGAATTCTATCCATTTTTTCAACGACGCAGAGGAAAAATAAAGAGAACTCCATTAATAAAGGTTACCAAGACTATCACAATCTAAAATGCTTTTAGGGACTTACAACCTAAAATGATGCAAGGATTGCATAAAACGAACAAAGAGTAACCTAAGAATTATCACAGGATTACTTTACCAGTCACTAAAGATTGAATGATCAGCTAAGAAAATCAGGAATCCAATCCACCTCGACTGTAAATACTGTAGAGAAGAGAGAGAAATCGCATACTATGTGGATAGGTCCACTTTTTATGCAGATCAAACTCGAATATGTACTGCGTAAGAGTATGAGACATATCTTACATTAGACTCTAAACATGATTTCAGGCAAAAGCGTATATACATTACTAGTTCTAGGAAAGATATGACTGCCATAAGTATTTAACAGCAAATATTTAACAGCATCTGCGGCGAAAGGACTAGCTATCCCACAATATGAAAGCACTCGGTACTACTAATTAGCGACAGCAAACCACCGATCGGTCTGACTGTAATTTGTATATAATAATATTAACTTTAAAGTGAGAAGCATAAACGCTTCTATGTTAATGCAAAATTAAGGAAAATTTACTAGCTCTTTGATTATTTTGAGATTTCTATGATTGATGTGATTTCATCACTTAATGACGTCAAACTAAATTGAAATTTCAGTCTGACAGTCTGACAGAATTTTTTATTTTTTTACTCGTCTTAGGGATATTTGTAGAACTAAACAACATAGGTATAATATATTATATCCATGTTATACAATTTCTTATATCTTTTTCTTATATTTTGTTTTTAATTTATATATTAAATATATTTATATAAATGATATTTAATAATGTAAAGCTCGTGTATCAACTGATGTATTACATATACTGCACGTGTCTCTTGATATTTGCTTTTCATTGTTGCAGTAAATGAAATTTACGAAAGCATTTTAAATATTGCGAAGACAACGCTGAGAATAGAACTACTTTAAATGACATAAAAGCACATATTTATACTATGCATTATATTAGAATAATATGAAAATAAAAATACGTAAGTAATTATCGGCAAAGGGCCATCGGGGCACTACTTACATTAATAATATGCATGCAAGATTGTATTTTTATGCGAGATGCATTTTTAAAAATAGCTAATATTCATAAAAGGTGATTAAAGTGATAGACGCAGACGGAAATTGTGATGCTACTTTGATAAGAGATTATAATACTGCACGTTTTTTGGAATTCATTTTCAGATATTGTATGATTACAACTACAATGATTGAACTTAATAACAATTAATTATTTTTAGTTCATTAATAAAGTAATTATTAGAGATTTTTTAAAGGAAACATCAGCGAAAATATATAGGATCGATTTTACAGTCGTAACTTAGGTCTCAAAACTGATTTAAGTTTAAACTATTGCTATTGCTATAGCTTTTGCTAGTACTATTTCTAATGCTATTACTATTGCTATTGCTATTGCTATTGCTATTGCTATTGCTACTGGTACTGCTATTGCTAGTGCTATTGCTGGTTTTTTTCTATTGTTATTGCTGTTGCTATTGCTATTCCTAGTACGATTGCTATTGCCATTGCTATTTCGAGTGCTATTGCTATTCCTAGTTCTATTGCTATTACTAGTGCTATTGCTGGTGTTTTTTCCATCGTTATTGCTGTTGCTATTGCTATTGCTATTGCTATTGCTATTGCTATTGCTATTGCTATTGCTATTGCTATTGCTATTCCTAGTACTATTGCTATTGCCATTGCTATTTCGAGTGCTATTGCTATTCCTAGAACTATTGCTGTTACTAGTGCTATTGCTATTGCAAGTGCTATTGCTGGTGTTTTTTCTATTGTTATTGCTGTTGCTATTGTAATTGCTATTACTATTGCTATTCCTAGTACTCTTACTATTGCCATTGCAATTTCTAGTGCTATTGCTATTACTAGTGTTATTATTAGTGTTAGTGCTAGTACTATAAAATAATTAATAATACATATTTTCTTTTAAATTCGGATAGTTAAAATATTAATAACGACAATATATCTAAAGTAAACTAGTTTAATATATTTTTTGCGTTCAAAATATAATTGTCAATTTTTAATCATACTTCAACCATACAATAAAAATATTTTTTCAGATAATAACTTATACATTTATGGACCGCAGAAATAAAATAATAAATAAAACAAAAGATATAGTAATTTTTTTAAATAAATATGTTTTTGAATAATTTTTATATATAAATATAAGTAAGATAAGTTACTTAAAAAAAGAAGACAAAAGAATTAAAATAATTTCTATATTAAATTAATGTGGTATCAACAAAAAAAGGTTAACTAAAATTTTTCAATTTTTTTTCCACAGTTATGAGTAATATAAATTCAAATATATATTTAAATAAAAAGTATATATAAAATAGTACATAATATAAAATAAAATAAAAGGCAGACGATGAAGATAATGAAATTAAAATAATTAACAGGAAGTCGATAAATATTTATAACAACAAAACTTCAAAGATTGAAGTGAAAGGAAAATTTTAGTTGAATAGAGCTACATATATCTTACATAAAATAAAGTTAATATAGTTATTATCAATTGAATAAATTGATAGCACCTATTTAAGAATTAGATATTGCTGAAAATACTGAAATATATAGAAAAATGATATTGAAGTAATAATTTAGCACACAGATATAATTGTTCAGAGTTTAAGAACTTCAAAGCTACAGATATTATCCTCCTGAATTTTTTTCTACTAAAAGTATTTATATACTTTCACATGTGAAAGTATATTCACATTAACTATGGACTATTAGGACTATTAACCTAATAGTCAATATTTTTCGTAGATTGCTGAAGACATCATTTTAGGCGAATCTAATTTTGTAACTGTAATCAACTCAGAATGTCTTTCTCGAAATGGGAGTTTTAGCTTTATATACAGAAATCTGTCACAGGCAAAATATCAGATGGGTTTAAATACAATCATAGTTTTGTGCCATCGCAAAACATTCAAAAGTATAATTGCAAAAATAGTTGTATAAACATATTAGGTAACAGATCACGCCTGAATATAGCATGCTCAAAAAGTTCAGTACTATTCAGTACAATTTATAGAAGAAAAGGTGTCTTTCACACATGTTTTTTAAATTTTTAGTTTTAGATATTTGTTTTGTAGAATGTTGTGTTTAAAATATAATTATATATATTTAATTATTACAACTCTATTAAAATATTATAATAATTATTATAAATATTGTTATAATTATTATAATTGTTTATAGATTTTTCTATTCTTCAATTTTATTTTTAAAAACTCAATCAAAATGCACTTAGATTTACCTAATTATTACAATACTATTATAATATTATTATTATAATATTATTATAATATAATAATAATTATAACAATTATTATTTTAATTGTATATAGATTTCGTTATTCTTCAATTTTAAATTTAAAAACACAATTTCAATACCATAATATATTACTGTTGTAACCCATAGAGGTCTTTATAACCATAAACATGGGATTAAATGTGACTGAGTGAGAAGAATGACTATTTAAGATAAAAGAGGGATATACATAGGATGAATCTTAATTGAAACTAGCCTGTGTCAAGTTGAAGAAACCGGTCACTTCAATAAATCGGAACTATAGACAAATGATATAGTCACTATTGTGGATGGTGAGTGGCGCTTGATTATCATTATAGATAAGTAACTTTAGGGATGTAGGTCCAAACACTTCTGAAAGTTATTTTATAACTTCAATCATTATATACCTAAATCAATTAAATAGTTTTTCCAATTTTTCAAGAAACTATTTCTCTATATTAAAAGTATTTTTTATCAAAGTTTTTTACCTAACATTTTTTATGTTTACTTTATCTATTGACTACGTTTATTTATGGTAAACAACACAGTCTAAATTTTATTTACGTTATTTACATTTCTACTTAGAAATAAAGCCAAATTTGATAATAATAATTAGTTAAATAAACAAATTATTTTAATAATTACTTTTTAAGTCGATTATTGATATAAAATTTGCGTGGCTGATAGAAATGACGAATTAATTTCTTTCCAGAAGTTTTTGCTACTTAAAATGAGCTCATTTAAAAGATATCTCATCTTTAAGGTTAAAGAATGGCGACTTTTTTGCTTAAAGTCTATATAAGCTCGTACACCATTACAATATTTATATAAATATGAATAAAATTGTTTTACTTAAATATTTTTAATATAGATACAATATAAATATTGTCAACGAAGAAATTAAAAAAAGAGCATTCATAAAGTTAAGATACTATAAAATTTATAAAAAATTTTACGTACTTTGCACATTTCTAGCAAATTGTATAAATCCTCCACTTCATCATCATCCGTAGGCACATAATGTTTGCCAGTTTGAGTACTCTTCCCTTTAGTTTCGCGCCGATAAAGTGGCAAACTCATTGCTTTGGCTAATATTTCAATGCCCATGTGACCTACAGTCTGATACATAAAGCTGTCTAATTCATCTGAAAAAAAGAAAAGAAAATAAAATATTTTATTTTATTTCTGTACTATGAAAGATACTAGATTTTATAAATCTATTATTGTAAATATTTTCTTTTATTGAAACTCAAGTTCATAGCAAAAATAATATGAGCATAAATAAAACACAGAGCTTAAATTTAATCAAAATGAATGAATAATATTAAGAAATCATAAACTAAGACTAAGAAAAGTTAAAAATTGAAAATAAGCACGTAATTCAATAGAATAAGTATTAAATTTACATTTTTATTAGATTAATTTTATCTTAAGGATAAATATAAAACAAAAACAAAAACAAAAAGTAATTTAACTGGAAATGAGGCGTTTGCGTGTCCTGCTTAATAAAATGTTATTTATACGCCTCGCAAAGGCCTCTTGCATATAGCATATAGCATACAGCAAAGTGAACGTGCATGTTTTTGGCTTACCTCGGTCTTTGGGATGCAAATTTGCTAGTGCAACAATTTCATGTCCTTCGGCCACACATTGCATCATGTTGTAGCAACTGTCCTTGCCACCACTCACCATTGCAACAACACGCATTTTGACTGGATTTATTGTTTTTGTTGAAAAGATTTTAAAATAAAGTAAACTGGATTTTTAGTTTCAACGGTTACTGCCAATTAGTCCAGCTCATTGGTATATTTGGATTCTTCACCGCTGCTTCTTATGCTTTGGGATTTTATATTTGGTTTTATATTTTTAGGTACAAATTTTTTGTTAGAAAATCCAAAAAGCAACGCCTTTGCATCGCAGTAGAACTGAAAGTAGTAAAAGTGAAGAAGAATTTACAAAACAATTTATATAGATGTTGTTCTTATATTAATATTAATAAATATAATTTACATAAATATGAATTGTTAATGAAAGTCGTTAAATAATTTAAAGAAATTTGAAATGAATATAAATAAAACATTAGTACAATACATCTGAAAAGAGCAGCTCAGACTAATTGGGATAATATAGCAAATGCCTACAGACAAACTAAAGAATTCACGCCGAATCAATCAAAAGCCAGAACTAGGGAGCTACTCATGCTGAATAGAAGTGGTATCCGACTTGTCACAGGATTCTTCACTGGGCACTGCGGAGATAAAAAGCATCTATCGAATCTAGGTATTACAAGAGACGATAGCTGCAGACTTTGTCACGAAGAAGAGGAAACAGCAGAACACAGTCTGTGTCACTGTGATAGAAGAGTTGTACTGTTCCTTCTTCTTTTTTATCTCTACAACTTCAACAATATTTATAAAAGGGAACTCCCAAATTAAGAGCACGTCTACCAAATAGTCCGTAACCGATTATACTACCCATGACTATAAGGATGCACTATCTTGGTAGGTTGAATAAATCTCTTGACTATTTCATATTACCTTTCAACCACTTTCGCCTTTATAAATGCTTCTGGCTGGTTCTAATTTGACCTTCTTCTACCCACTATAACGAGGAATTATGGATTCAAAACGGCTTTATTAGCTAATTGAGGAGGATTCGTTCATCCCTCCATTTCAACTAACAGCTAACTATCTTAACCACTCTAAACTAAACCTCAAGCATCAACAATTAATCTTACAAACGACTCTATGTTTCAGAGATAATTCACAAATACCAAAAAAAATTCCCTCTATGCCCAGGGGAAGATTAATAAGCTATCTCTCTTGTAAATACATCACACCTAAAATTTCCATGAAAGTTATTATGCCCCCGAGCCCCTTTAATGCGTTTAATAAAGTGTTTTGATAATGTTTAACTGAATTAATGACTATTTGGGTATGTGAGTATAGAGGTATATAGCAGTTTTGGTTCTCCTTAAGTATAAAGCTTACGACATTCATTGTTAATACATATGACTTATAAACACTACAGTGAGACAGAAATACAATTTAAGTCCTTCGTTGTTTGAAAACAACCCGAAAAGAGAGGTTTTCATCAAGTTTGGATATGTAAGTTAAATTCTATTGAATTCTACTGCATCAGGTCTCACTAAGCATCACCAATATTGGATATTGGAATTGGATATATTCGATATGGAATATTCAAAAATTTATTGATAACCAAGTACATTTATTTGAAGAGGCTTATGAAAAATCGTCTAATCTGATTGTTCTAGACTTTTTTGTACAAGTACATTAGGAAGAACTAAACATTTACACACCACTGACCTGAGTGCAACTGAAAGACAACACTCGAGTTAAGTTGACTCTATGCAAATTACACCGCACCCTACGTTTTAATTTTCGTCACTAAAAACTGTGTTCTGCATACTTACTTATTATTCTTCTAGTTATTATTTAACTATTCTTAATAGAAACCGATATTTCTAAATAGAAAGAAAACAGAAAGCGATGTGCTTCGAGATATATAATGCTTTTGTTACTAATTTCGACATAAAATTCTGTTACCTTTATTTATACTTTTATTTAACGATCTGATTTTGTTCCACAAAATTAGCAATAATTAAATTTTAAGAACTATAATAAATTTTACACACATATTTATATTGCTATAATATAATTATATGATGTCATGTTATTTATAAGTACTATAAAACTCACTATAGATAAATTTTATAGTTTAAACTATTTCACCTTTAATATTTTTTTATAAACTTGTCTCTTAATAACTATAAATTATGCTTAAATCTTATATATTTCATTTATGATATATTCTAAATGAGTTGAAATGCTTGCAAATGAAAATAAAATAATCACTTCAAGAAAATATTGGCAAGCAATTTGACAATTCAATTAAATAAGCGTTTAAAAATTTTAAATTATTTGATGAGGTGAAAAATGAATTAAAGACAAAAGCACAAAAAAAACACTAAAACACATACACAACTACAAACAATGGAAACTATTTTAACAAAGTGAAAAATTCGAGGCGGTACAACACGGCGTATGAGTGACAAGAATTTTGTTTAATTTTTCATGCCTTTGATTTTATTTTATTGTGTGCTCTGCAGTGCGCTTAAATGTTGAAACGTCAAGCGTTTAAAATAAAAATTAAAAGAATTTTTGAGATATTAAACTGTTAGTTATATTTTGGTCATATGAAAGCTAATAAAGACAATAGAGACCATAATAAGTGCAAAAACAATATGAGAACAAAAATTTCATTTTATTGTCAGTCGTCGAATTGTTTAAAGCAAATGCGCGTTAAATTACCAAAAAAAAAAGGTGAAAGAACCAGAAATTATTTTAAATAAAACAAAAAAATTAATTTAATGAATTTTTAATTTATTCAATAAATTTTTAATTTATTCAATAAATTTTTCGCAGACAAATTAATATGAAACCAATAAATACAAGGTTTCTTACTGCTGCAATTAGTATATACTGCTGCAGCAGTATATATATATATATATATATATATATATATATATATATATATAGAATATGAATAGAATGAATAGAATATATATGAAAAGAAATATATATCTATATATATATAGAATATATGTTATATAAACACAGTGACCATTTAATTAGTGAAGAGTTTGAGTTAAATATTTCATCTATTGAGATAATTAGATAATCTTCTCATTTTTATTTTGTATAATCAATAGTGTTTTTTCCTTTGAGTAAAATTAAATGGAGCTTCTTTTAATTTTAAAAAGAGTTTCTTCCTTATCAGAGTGGTTAAATTACCATCATCAACTTTCGACTTTCTTTAGTTTTAATACGAGGGTGGTTTGATAAATCAGTGACTTTTTGAATAAAAAAATTTTTTTCGGCAAATAAACATTTTATTTTTCTACATAATCACCTTTTAGCTCGATACATTTAGTCGAGCGGTTTTCTAATTTTCTTATTCCCTCCAAATAATAGGTTTTCTTAAAGCTCTCAAAATACGCGTTTGTTTCGGTAATGACTTCTTCATTCGACTCAAATCTGTTACCACCCAGCCATTTCTTTAGGTTTGAAAACAGAAAATAGTCGCAGGGGGCTAAATCTGGAGAATATGCTGGATGGGGTAGCAGTTCGTATCACAATTCGTGGATTTTGGCCAGTAATGTTTATAATTTGACTAGCAATGCTTATAATGCTTAATTCAAAAAATGACTGACTTATCAAACCGCCCTCGTAGTACTCAAACACTCGAAATACATTTTTTTCTTATTTAACTTTATAAAAATTAATAATACCAAAATGTTAAAATCTTGAAAAAATTTTATGGAAAGACTTTATTTCATCATAACTTCTCTTAAAGAAGTTAGCTGATTTAAACGCGATCAGATATCGTTATTTTCTGGATTATATCCGTAGTTTAACCATATATTTATAAGTATTATAGCCATATAGCTACTTCAATAAGTAACACACCAATCATGTAGTGAGAATATTGTTTCTTAGATTTAGTTTCAAATATTCAACAATATTTTGTAATTTCTATTATATGTAAGCGAAATTCCATTTAGAGTCAATACCCACAACTCTAACGTAACTATTGAAAACGTAGATAAAGTCTGCTACGTAGGTAGCATGGTTTCTAAATATGGGGATGCGCACACGGATGTTGATTCCCACATAAACAAAGCACGGAATGCATATCATAAAATGTGGAATGTGGAATTCATCACATATTGACCGAAGGACCAAAATTAGAATCTTTAACATCTGTGTCAAACCTGTCCTCTTCTATGGTTCTGAAACATGGCGCGTCACGCAACTCTTATCTAAATAAACTACAAACATTCAATGCCTGCGCAGAATTTGTAGAATATTCTAGCCATAATTTCAAATCAAGAACTTTACAGTATAGCAAACCGATAATTAGGGATATGAAATATCGTAAATGGAACTGAATCGGCCACACGCTGTATAAAAACGAAGATGACATTGCAAGATGACTTTCGAGTGAAATCTGCAGGACACTCGCAGAATAGGAAGACCCACAATAACTTGGATACATTCAGAAAGTAGAAGCTTTGGTACATGGCGAAAAACTAAGCGATTGACACAAGATTGAACACATGAAAAATGGAATAAATGTGACAATATTCAATGCAAACGATGTCCCTCCGAAAACGACTTCAAAGCCTTGAATGCTTGATGAGGTTGTGAATTTAGCGTGGTGAGGTATCTTTTACACACAGGGCCCTCTTGGTGCAACGATTGATACGGTTCCCTACTGCTTGAATGCAACAGTTAAAAAAAGCGATTGGAATTATACAACAGAAAAGGACTAAGCTGTATTTTATTAACATAATACCAGACCACACACTTCTTTCATGACTAGAAAAAAATTGATAAAACTAGGTTGTTAAGCTTTGATTCATTCACCGTGTTACCCGGAACTTACATTGTCTGGCCACCAGATTTTTGCAAAACTCCTTTTATGGATATGTTGTGCAGAAAGTCAGGGGCTCGTTAAAATTAGCTCTTTTGGCTTATAACAGAAATGCATTTATGCAGAGTGTCACAGAAACTGTAATAAATTGCTCTTAAATGACACAAATTTTGACATTTATTACTAAAGAACATTGCTTTGGCTAAGTGACGAGGCATAGATGGTCTCGTCTCTCATGAACAAATTTATATCAACATTTTCTGTTTCCTCTCACACTTAATTTTATTATTTGCATTAAAAACAATTTTGATTTTGACGAGCCCATGACTTTTTGCGTAACATGGGCATAAATTATGAAAAAATTGGGCGAACCAAACCAGAGATTAACCAGTCCATTAACCAGAGAAGTTTTACACTGATGGAATTATGAAACTACCCGAAAAATGGCAATAAATACTGCATTAAAAAT